AAAGAAAGAGAGGCACACTGACCCCAATCTGATGACCAAGAGGCAGGCTATTGCAGTTTCCAGGGGAAGAAAAAAGGAAGGGTAAAAACCCAAGCTGAGCCGGGTATAAACCAAAACAAAGGTCCAGCTCTTGCTCAAGCCTCCCATCAATTCCTCGCAGCTCTCAAAACAGAGCAACACTTCATAACTCAACATGGAAGATAAAGCACCTGCGTCAAACTCAAGGCCCAGGGCCCAAATCCGGCCCGCAAAGTCATTTTATGTGGCCCTCCAGATACCAGACTAATAGTCCTGTATTCCTCCCCCGTAGACGTCTTTATCAGAGTTATTATTATTAATTATTATTAACTTTATTTATACCCCGCAAAATCTCCCGAAGGACTCGGTGCGGCTTACAAAGGCCAAGGCCGCCAACAAACAACAACATACAAATACAACAGTAAAACTCAAGCAAATAATAAAACATCAAGCAAAACCAACACTAAAAACAATGACACCATGACGCATTTAAAACCTAAAGGCCGGGCCAAATGTAAAGGACAAAATTTAAAAGTGCTGAACTTGACAGGAGGAATGTAGAAGTTTTTTGGAGGTAGGTGCAATGTGCAGACAATCCTGGTCTCTAACAAAGTGCATTTGGGACATGATGCTTGGAATCTCCTATTCTGGGAAGGCACACTGGAACAGACAGGTCTTCAGGCTCTTCCTAAAGATTGCCAACGTTGGGGCTTGTCTCATGTCCTTGGGGAGAGAGTTCCAGAGTCGGGGGGCTACCACAGAGAAGGCCCTGTCCCTCGTCCCCACCAAACGCGCTTGCGACGCAGGTGGGATCGTGAGCAGGGCCTCTCCAGATGAACGAAGAGAACATGTGGGTTCATGTATGGAGATGCGGTCACGCAGGTAGTTGATGGGAGTTGTGGTATGGTAATATCTGGGAGGCTGCAGTTTGTCCTGTTTAGCCAGAATAGTGGAATTTTAATTTAGACACAAGGTTTATGGTTCTGATGTCTGAAGTTGAAAGGCCCTTTAACCTTTCCCCAATCTCAGAGCCACTAATGCCATGGGTCTGAATTCCCATTATTCCCAGTCCTCGTGGCAGATATTCAAAAGTGATGGGAGTTGTTGTTCAATAACATCTGAGGACCCAAACTGGCTAAAACTAAAAAGATTGACCATTCTGTGTGTAAACATATATAGCTGTCTCTCTATATCAGGCATGGGCAAACTTCGGCCCTCCAGCTACCGGCTGTTGGGAATTGTGGGAGTTGAAATCCAAAACACCTGGAGGACCGAAGTTTGCCCATGCCAGCTCTATATCCAGGGATTCTCCATCCATGGACTCAATGGCCCTTTGAAGGCAACTATAAGGCTGATGTGGCTCTTGATGAAAATGAGTCTGACAGTTCTGGGCTAAAGCCTTTCCAGTTTGATTCAGATTCTCACACAGACGGCCTTGATCCCGGGAAGGCCTTGTGCTCTGCCAGAGCCGCAAGGAAGCCCAGACATGCCATGTCTCTCACCGCCTTCGCTCCTGATTCTTAAATGCCACCTAGGAAGATTCCTCTTTCATAGGGTTATGAAATTAACTCCGCAAAACAAAGGTGTGTCGTTTTGTGAATGATAATAATAATATTCATTTGTTATGAATTGAGGTGGAGTACAACATAAATCAAAACATATCAGCATAAAATGCATACATACATACATCGTGGTGTTATTGTCTAATGTTTATTGCTATTGTTTAATGTTTATTGCTTTGTTTTATGAGTTTATTTATTGTTGTATTTGTTATGCTGTTTTTTTACTGATGTGTTGGGCCTCGGCCTCTTGTAAGCTGCACCGAGTCCTTCAGGAGATGTTAGCGGGGTATAAATAAAGGTTTATTACTATTATTATTATTATTATTATTATTATTAAAACACACTATTATAAAATACATACACCAAAACACAGGGTAGAAAGATCAATATACAGCAGCCACAGAGTGCAAATCCAAAATTCACAATTGAAAGTTTGAAAGATTGAACTGCTAGGTTGGCAGAAGCTTGGGCTAACAGCAGACGCTCACACCACTCCTGGATTCGAACTGCCCACCTTTCTTTCAGTCAGCAAACTCAGCAGCTCAGCGATTTAACCCACTGTGCTACTGGGGTCTCCTTGTGGGAGTTGGCATCCAAAACACCCAGAAGGCCGAAGCTGACCCATGCTTGCGTTAGAGGTAGTGCCATGTAAACCCGAGGTTCCCAGTGTATTCACTTCTATCTTCGGGCCCTCCAGATCCAGGATGGGGCGCAGCTGGAGTTTTAGACAAAGCCCTCCTGACCTTGACATCTCCCTGGGCTGACATCTGGGCCCCTTCCACACAGCTGCATAAAATTGAACTGGATTATATGGCAGTGTGACCTCTGATTATTTTATTTATTATTTCATACATTTCTACCCCGCCCTTCTCCCCACAAAGGGGGACCCCTCAGGGCGGCCTCGCATAAGCATCAAATGATGCTATCAACATATACACCACAAGAATTACCATTGAAACCGTAAAAATCATTTTAAGACATTATACGAATACAGTAAACAAACTCATTTAACAATAAATTAACGTGCCAATTAAAACCAAGACCAAGCCAATGTCACATATGCCCAAAATTTCCTTTCCTATTGCTGCTGTCCTCTAGTCGAACGCCAGGTCCCAGAGCCAAGTCTTCAGTTGTCTTCTAAAGGACAGGAGGAAGGTGGTCAACAGGTGTCCTTAGGGAGGGAGTTCACAGACGGGGGGCCACTGCCGAGAAGGCCCTGTCCCTCGTCCCCACCAACCACGTTTGCGAAAGTGGTGGGATCAAGAGCAGGGCCTCTCCTGACGATCTTAAGCTTTGTGATGGTTCATAGCAGGAGATACCTTCAGACAGGTAATCTGGACCAGAACTGTTTTGGGCTTTAAAGGTTAAAAGCAGCACTTTGAATTGGTCCCCGAAGCTAATTGGCAGCCAGTGGAGCTGGCACAACAAAGGAGTCGTATGTTCCCTGTACGCTGCTCCGGTTAACAACCTGGCTGCCGACTGTTGGCCTAATTGAAGCTTCCAGAAGTTTTCAAAGGCAGCCCCACGTAGAGAGTGTTGTAGTAGTGTATTCAGGATATAACCAGAGTGTGGACCACCGTGGCCAAGTCAGACTTCCCAAGGAACAGCGCAGTGTTAATTGTGCAAAGGGTCTCCCGGCCACCGCCGAGACCTGGGGTCCCAGTGGATAACCCAGTCCAAAGCAGATATTGTGGGACGATCTGCCTCGATATTCTGGGAGATGGGGCTGTGTGGATGGGGCCTTGGAGCAAGCTGTGGACCTTGCAGGGCCCTTCCAAGGCAGGAGATGCCTGGAGCTGGGTGACCTGAGCCCACGCTCTGATCCTGTGTGATGTCCTTCTGCCTTGATCTCCTGGGATAACCTATAGGGCCGTGTGGAAGGGCAGATGTTTTCACTGTGCCTGGTTGTGATCCCCAGGTTGTGCCAGTCAGCTTTTGTATGATATTGTTTCTAGCGCCCACTTTTTGCTTGATGTTCAGGCAGTGCTTCTTGTGCATGGCGGCCTAGGCTGGCATTGTGGGACGATCTGCCTTGATATTCTGGGAGACAGGGCTGTGTGGATGGGGCCTTGGAGCAAGCTGTGGACCTTGCAGGGCCCTTCCAAGGCAGGAGATGCCTGGAGCTGGGTGGCCTGAGCCCACCCTCTGATCCTGTGGGATGTCCTCCTGCCTTGACCTCCTGGGATGATCCATACTGAGCCGTGTGGAAGGGCCCCATGTCTCTCAGGAGAGCAAGCCAGGAAAGGCTGGGTTGCCTGAGCCCACGGTCTGATCCTGTGGGATGTCCTCCTGCCTTGACCTCCTATACTGGGCCGTGTGGAAGGGCCCCATGTCCTCCAGGGGGAGTGGACCCCCCCCCAGACCCGGCTGACCCCCTCCACCGGCGGGCTGGGCCCTTAATGGCTGCTCCCCTCCTCCTGCCCACCGGGCTCCCTCTCCCCCTGAAGGCCAGCCCGCCTGGCTCCTACTACTTGGGGAGCCCCCTTCCCTTCCCTTTTGCGGCCTACCTTTGTAGTGTACGCAGAGGTTCCCCTGGGAGAGGCCGATGTAGTTGTACTTGATATTCTGGGAGACAGGGCTGTGTGGATGGGCCCTTGGAGCAAGCTGTGGACCTTGCAGGGCCCTTCCAAGGCAGGAAAGGCTTAGAATTGGGTGGCCTGAGCCCACCCTCTGATCCTGTGGGATGTCCTCCTGCCTTGACCTCCTATCCTGGGCCGTGTGGAAGGGCCCATGTCCTCCAGGGGGAGAGGACCCCCCAGACCCTTCATGGCTGTTCCCCTCCTCCTGCCCCCCGGGCTCCCTCCCTCTCCCTCCCCCTCCCCGTTCCCTTTTGCGGCCTACCCTTGTAGTGTACGCGGAGGTTCCCCTGGGAGAGGCCGATGTAGTTGTACTTGTCCTTGGGGCTCCAGGCGCGCGGGAGCGGCGTCTCGGCCAGGTTGACGGCGGGGTAGAGCCGGCGGAGGCGCTGCCCGAGCTCCTGCTGCTGCTGCTGCTCCTGCTGCTGCTCCTCCTCGGGGGCCGGCGGCAAGGGCGGCGGGGCGGGGGCCAGGCCGGAGCCTCCCCCAGGGAAGCTAATGCTGCCGCTGCTGCCGCTGGTGGGGGCGCCCGCGTCCGCCATCTTGGACCCTCTGTTGTGTCAGCCGCGGCCCCGCCGAGCCCGTCTCCCCGCCCGGCCAATGGGAGGACGCCTCGGCCACAATGGCGCCGAAAGGCACGCTGGGAAAGCGGGTTCGCCGCCCATCGGCGCCCGGCGCTGCCCGCACGGCGGCGGACTACCACTCCCGAAAGGCAGCGCGCGAGGCAGGGATGACGCGGGCACGCCGCGCCGCGCGCCGGAACAAACAGTCCCCTCGGGGAGGCGCGCGGGGCGGGGCCTGTTGCCATGGCGCCGCGGTGTCAACACTCTCTCTTCCCTCACCGCTTCCTTCCGGCCTAGACCGCCGCCGCCATGGACAGCCGCGCCTCGGGCTTCTCTGGGTGAGTCCGCCCCGAGGGAGGGAGGGCTCTGCATAGGAGGCTCTCTAGACCAGGCCTGGGCCTTCCCTCCAGGGGTTTTGGACTCCAACTCCCACCATTCCCCACAGCCGGTAGGCTGTGGGGAATGGTGGGAGTTGGAGTCCAAAACCCCTGGAGGGAAGGCCCAAGTAGGCCCAGGCCTGGTCTAGAGAGCAGTCGGAGAGAGTATAGAGAGCTTGGGCCTTCCCTCCAGGTGTTTTGGACTCCAACTCCCACCATTTAATTCCAAATCTGTTGTTGCACTGTGCCATTCTCCGAAAGCCTGATTCCAAGGCCAGGTTTTCACTTTCCTTCTGAAGGCTAGGAAGGAGGGGGATGATCTAATGTTGCCAGGGAGGGATTTCCACAGCTGAGGAGCCACCACTGAGAAGGCCCTGTCTCTCGTCCCCACCAGTTGCGCTTGCGAGGAAGGCAGGACCAAGAGCAGGGCCTCCCCAGATGATCTTAATGTCCGAAGTGGTTCATGGGGATGATACATTAAGACAGGTAAGCTGGTCTGGATCCATTTAGGGCTTTAGAGACTAAAGCCAGCACTTTGAATTGTGCTCGGTAGCAGACTGGCAGCCGGTGGAGTTGGCTCAATAGGAGGGATTCATTTATTTATATATTTATTTGCCACACTTTTATCCCACCCTTTTCAACCCGAAGGCAACTCAGGGCAGTGTGCAGACTGGCAATAATTAGAGGGCGAACACACATAAATACATAGTTTAAAACAGGTTAAATCACATAATAAAATTTATATAAAAACAATTTAAACCTATACAAATCAATGACTTCCAGGTTTAAATCCATGTCCATTTGCCTCATTAAATGGACTTGTATAACGGAGACCTGGTTGGACGAGGGGAGAGGGGTCAATCTCTCCCAACTCTGTCCACCAGGTTATTCCGTTCAGCACCAACCAAGGCTTGGAGGGCGGGGAGGCGGAGTCGCAGTGGTCTATAAGGACTTTATTCCACTGATCAGGTGTCCCATCCCACAATCATCTTCTTGAATGTGCCGGCTTTAGGATAGGTGACCGGGACAGGATAGGGATTCTGTTAGTGTACCGAACACCCCGCTGCACTACAGTCTCCCTACCTGAGCTAGCGGGAGTGGTCTCGGACATGGCGTTGAGCTCCCAACGGCTTTTGGTCTTGGGAGATTTCAACGTCCATGCCGAGGCCCTCTTTCTGGTGCGGCTCAGGACTTCATGGCCGCCATGGCAACCATGGGCCTGTCCCAATTAATATCTGGTCCCACCCATAGTGCCGGGCACACTTTAGATTTGGTTTTTGCCCAGGGATGGGATGAAGGTGACGGGATGGAGGAGCCGACCATCGCCCCATTGCCATGGACCGATCACCACCTGATCAGTTTTAGACTAACTGGGCCTCCTAACCTCCGCAGGGGTGGTGGACCCATTAGAATGGTCCGCCCCAGGAGACTTATGGATCCAAATGGACTCCTGACGGCTCTTGGGGATCTTTCCACCTCCTTGGCTAGTGATACTGTCGATGCTCTGGTCTCTCGTTGGAATAATGAGTTGACCAGGGCAATTGACACTATCGCTCCGGAACGCCCCCTCTCGAGTAACCGAGCTAAACCAGCCTCTTGGTTTACCGAGGAGCTGGCAGCGATGAAGCGAAAGAAGAGGAGGTTAGAGTGCGTGTGGCGCCAGAATCCCACCAATCCAGCCCAAACACACCTGAATGCCTTTTTAAGGTCCTACGGTGTGGCAATAGCGGCAGCTCAGAAAACATTCATCACAGCCAATATTGCATCAGCGAAGAATCGTCCAGCGGAGCTTTTTCGAGTTGTCAGGGGCCTGTTAAATCCGCCAAAAAGCGAGGCCTCGGATAACTCGGTGGCTCGCTGTGAAGCATTTGCTCGATCCTTCGCGGATAAAATTGAGCGGATCCGGTCGGGTTTTTCAATGCCACATTAACAGCAGTCTCTGAGGATGTAACACGAGCATCTGCTTGTCCGGTTTTGATGGATTCATTTCAATTGGTTCAACTTGAGGATGTGGACAGGATCATTGGAGAGGTGAGGCCCACCACATGCATCCTAGACCCCTGCCCATCCTGGTTGATAAAAGCCAGAGGGGGTTTGGCAGAGTGGATAAAGGTGGTGGTTAATGCCTCCTAACAGGAGGGCAAAATTCCAGACAACTTAAAACAAACTATTATAAAACTGCTGTTGAAGAAACCATCACTGGATCCCACTCAATTTGACAACTATCGGCCAGTTTCCAATCTCCCCTATTTGGGCAAAGTCATGGAACGTGTGGTGGCAACACAACTCCAGGGGTTTCTGGTAGACACTGATTATCTAGATCCGGCACAGTCTGGCTTTAGGCCGGGACATGGAACTGAGACAGCCTTGGTCGCCTTGGTAGATGATCTTCGCAGGGAGCTAGACAGGGGGAGTGTGTCCCTGTTAGTTCTGCTGGACCTCTCAGCGGCCTTCGATACCGTCGATCACGGTATCCTTCTGGGGCGCCTCATGGATATGGGGCTCGGAGGCACTGCTCTGCGGTGGCTTCGATCCTTCCTTGAGGGACGGACCCAGAAGGTGTTACTGGGTGACACCTGTTCGGCCCCACAACCGTTGTTGTGTGGAGTCCCACAGCGTTCTATCTTGTCCCCGATGCGCCCGTACCTTGGGAAGTCGGATCTGGCCACGGTGGTCCACGCTCTTGTCACATCCCGGTTGGATTACTGCAACGCACATCTACATGAAGCCGCTGGGAGAGATCATTCGGAGTTTCGGACTAAGATGCTATCTCTATGCAGATGACGTCCAAATCTGTCACTCCTTCTCACCTGTCACCAAGGAGGCTGTCCAGACCTTGAACCGGTGTTTAGCTGCTGTATCGGACTGGATGAGAGCTAACAAATTGAAATAGAATCCAGACAAGACAGAGGTCCTACTGGTCAGTCGGAAGGCCGAACAGGGTATAGGGTTACAGCCTGTGTTAGACGGGGTTACACTCCCCCTGAAGACGCAGGTTCGCAGCTTGGGAGTGATCCTGGACTCATCGCTGAGCCTGGAACCCCAGGTCTCAGCGGTGGCCGGGAGAGCTTTTGCACAATTAAAACTTGTGCGCCAGCTGCGCCCGTACCTTGGGAAGTCAGATCTGGCCACGGTGGTCCACGCTCTTGTCACATCCCGGTTGGATTACTGCAACGCACTCTACGTGGGGTTGCCTTTGAAGACTGCTCGGAAACTTCAACTAGTCCAGCGAGAAGCAGCCAGGTTGCTCACCGGAGCGCGTATAGGGAGCATACCACCCCCCTACTGCGTCAGCTCCACTGGCTGCCGATCCACTTCCGAGCACAATTCAAAGTGCTGGTTTTAACCTTCAAAACCCTATACGGTTCCGGCCCAGTGTATTTGTCCGAACGGATCTCCCTCTACATCCCACCTCGAAGTTTAAGATCTTCTGGGGAGGCCCTGCTCTAGACCCCACCGCTATCACAAGTGAGGCTGGTGCGGACGAGGAGCAGGGCCTTCTCAGTGGTGGCCCCTCACCTGTGGAACTCACTCCCGGGGAGATCAGATCGGCATCTTCCCTCTTGGTGTTTAGGAAAAGACTGAAGACCTGGATCTGGGATCAAGCCTTTGGTCATTCTGAAAGCTAACTGAAGGATCTGATGATAGACAAGGACAAATGGAATGGAATGGATATATGGACTCTGAACTCTGAGCATGAGATAGTTTCAGACCTTGGCATTTATGAATTGTAGTTGCTGGGATTTAATTCAAACTTTTTTATTTTTATTTTTGTTGTGTGATTTGGCATCTAATTGTGCCTCCTTTGTAAGCCGCCCTGAGTCCCCCCCGGGGTGAGAAGGGCGGGGTATAAGTAGATGAAATAAATAAATAAATAAATTAAGCCGTTCCATACTCGTTCACAATACTGAGTTTATCTAGTTACAATGAGGTTCCAAAAGCTTGCTCAAAGAGCCAGGTTTTTACTCTCTTTGCACACCACTCCGGTGATCAAACCTGGCTGCTGCCCATTGGACCAATGGAAGCTTCCGAACAATCTTCAAAGGCAACCCCACATGAAGCATGTTGCAGTAATAGATACGGAATAGAGAGTGGACCACTGTGGCCAAGTCTGGCTGATATCAAAACAACACTACCACCAGTACTGTATATCTGGAAAGGAGTAACAGGAATGTCTTGATAGGCTGAATATACACATTTATATTGCCAAACGGTCTTATTTCCTTTCTGGGGAGAATCTACACTTTGTCCGCTTTCATTAGAAAAGCCACCCACCTGAGAGATCTCTTTATCTCACAAAATGGGGTCCCGTGTCATGGTGATGAACTTACCTCAATTCTCCGATGGATTCTTTCACACTCATCACTCTACTCCCCCTGCTTTCATCTGGTAGTTTAATCCCATTTTACCAAACTTATTATTTAATCAAGTTTTATTGTATTTTAATTTATTTTGGTTAACTATTACAGGAGTTTTAGGATGGTGATTACTGTGTATTTGTCTCTGTATTTCTGTTTTTTTGTCTTTTATTGTTGATACGGTCAGTGGGCTAATCAATAAACAGATCTATCTATAAACATCTTTATGTAGTTTTGTAATGTCTTATGGTCATATACTGTTTCTTTTATTGTAGGTTAGGAATAAGCAATCAGGAACTTGAGAAAAGGTATTACTTTTATTCTGCTTATACAGTATTCTACTCACATGAGAAGAGAGTTGCTAAAAGGAGGACAACACAAAGACAGGGTGTTAATAATTGATCATCAGTTTTGGTGCTGTTGGAATGATGGCTGGCTTACTGTGGCAGCACCTCTTTAATTAAACTGTTTGTACCTTCCTCCTAATTACTTAGAGCAGGGGTGAGGCGTGAGTCACCTACACAGATGTTCTCACAATGCTTCATCATGGGTTATGCTGGCTGGATCTGGTAGAAATTGCAGTCTAATAACTTTTAGAGCTTCACAGCATCCCCTCCCTTGATAAAGATCGGTGGTTCTCAACCTGTGGTCTGTGGACCACCGGTGGTCTGCAAGAACTAAAATATGGTCTGTGGCCTCACCATTCCTACACCATTATGTGATGGTACTCACCTTTAAGGCCTTGCATGGTGTGGGGCCGATGTACCTGAGGGACCGCCTCACCCCCTACCAACCCCAGAGATCCCTCCGTTCTGAGGACCAAGATCTATTGGAAATTCCCAGTGTCAAGACCTTGCATCTAACAGCAACCAGGCACAGAGCCTTCACAGCAGTGGCACCATCACTCTGGAATACTCTGCCACCTGAAGTCCGTGCCTTGCGGGACTTATCAGCTTTCCGCAGGGCATGAAAGACATCTCTGTTTCGACAGGCCTTTGATTGTTGATTTGTTGTTTTTACATTGTTTTTAAATTATTTTAAATTGTGTTAGATTTTAGTCATTCTTGTAAGCCGCTCCGAGCCCCAGGGGAGTGGCGGCATATAAGTTCGAATAATAAATAAATAAATAAATAAATAAATAAAATTATGAGAGTGACTGGTCTTGTGAAACCCTCTTATGGTGCCGAGGCTTATTAAATAAATAATGTCATTCATAAATAAATATGGTTTTCTGTGGGCGAGCAGATGTTGACTACTGGGTGGCATATGTTCTGTTTCAGAAACTACAGCTGATGTGGTCTATCCAATGCAATTTTCTGAATCGGCACCCCAAATAACCAAACTGAATCTAAAGTTGACCAAAAACGGCTTCGTAGCCCTTGTGGTACTAATGTTGGAGAGTGGACCCTGGTCAAGTGGTCAAAAAAGAAAAGGTTGGGAACCACTGGTATAGACAATTCCCAGATTATAAGACTCAAGAACACTGTCTTGGCTGACAGCAGAGCTGCATAACTGCAGTGTTAAACCAATGCTATGTTTCAGTCATATATCGGAACAGTCTTTCAATATATTTGGTACGTCAGACATATTCTGCTATTGAAACTGAACCCTATTACTCTTCTGGCTCTCCTGTCTTCAGTACAGGACTAAACCTTCAATATTCTGGTTGGTAAACTGGTGGTAAAATGCAATCAGCAGTTTCAGACACAATGAGAAATTTTTGTTTAAACAAACCAGCGTGCATGAGAATGAGGAAGAGTGGGAGGAAGGAGGGCATAGCTTTGATGCTCATTCCTGGCTTCTCAAAGAATTAGGCAGTGTTGTTTCCAAGGCACACAAAGTCTGGCCATAGGAGTTGCAAAATCAAGCAAACTCACAAGTATTTTATTTGAAGGAGAATTATGCTTCCAGAAGGCCTTTCAGAGGGTTTGTGTCCTTCAAAACGGGGATATGAGAAAGCATGTAGACTCTGATGGTTTGCTGCATGGTTGCTGTTAGCATTCCTTACTTTGGGCTATTTAGGGTCAGGCTGCTAAGGTGGGTTCCATGGGCCACAGGTTTTGTGCTGGAGCGGCGTTAACTCCCTCGTGTTGGGAATGTCCTTCTCAGCAGTACTGCCAATTCTTCTTCTTGTAGGGTCTCATTCCGACAGTCCCTCCAGACTTTAAAAACCCAAAAGAGTGTTTCTGCCTTGAATACACCATCTCAGAAGATATCACTCCTGAAGAAACAGAAAAGCCTGGTGAGTGGAGCAGTGCCAGCCCATCGATGCCCATTGGGTCTTGGAAGCCTTCTGTCATTTGGGCAGCCTCAAAGGCCTTGGCAAGAGTGTGCCATTTCAGTTGGTTTTAATTTTGAGTATGTGTTTTAAACACTGTTTGCAACAATGTTTTGATTTGTTTTAAAATAATGTGTTTACCAATATTAATGTGCTGTATACCGCCTGGGTCTGAAAGGCAATAAATAGTTATGTAAACACATAATAAGGTATGGAATCTTAGAATTATAGAGTTGGAAGAGACCACGAGGGTTATGCAGCCCAACCTCCTTCCAGGATAGAAATTGCAGGAAAGGAAAGGAAAACAGAAGCCTTCTTCCTATATGACCCATGGTGCCAGGTCTGTGAGGCTTTACTAATTGAAAAATTATCAGATGAGTCACAGGCCTCACCCAGACTGTTAACAATATTCCTTTACTGAAAAAAATGATTTTCTTCACATACTGTATTAATGAGAGCATAGGGTGCATGGTATCACTAGCCCACTACTTCAACCTCTTGAAAGATGTCACATCTGATTCCTCTTGTTTGTATGCTTTTCTAAATATATTTAATGATGGCTTTTTGCTATCTTTGTTATTCTGCCAATGGCATTCGTGTTAGTTGTGTTCTTTTTCTTTTGAATGTTTACACAGTGCTTCGTAAAAGCAATAAAACGTTGCAAATAAAAACCAACACAGATCTCCCCCTGAATCTGACCTTTAAGTTGATGTAACCTGTGTTGTTATATCAGACGGATAGGAGCTCCCCGTGGTTCAGGCAGGATCCTTTCCTAGTTGTACTAGGACAGTGGTTCTCTGTGGGCCACGAGACTGAAAATCCCGTCTGCGAATCTCCTTCCACTTTATTTTATTTCTGCTCCTTTCTGCAGAGCTAACCGGTTGCACTCCTTTTGGTACTTATGTTGGAGAGTGGTCTCTGGTCAAAGTGGGCCCTGGTCAAAAAAAAGACCGGGAACCCCTGTACTAGGGGTTCCTGGCATTTTCCAGTTGTCTCCCATCCAAATACTCACTAAGAACAATATCGCTTAGCTTCTCTAATTAAAAAAAAGACTGGGTATGTCCAGATTTGTGAACTCAACCCTGGTACAAGAGAAAAGACGTGTGCAAAAAATAAATGAAAGGGGCAGGGGGAGAAATCCTTCTTGTATATTTTGAAGATTTCCAGACTTGTGTAAGGTGCAAGGAGGAACTGGTGGTGCTCAGATGGAATTTTATGAAAGGATTAAACAAAAGCCCCCAAAACCATAACAAAAGCTTCATTTTCCCCTCCTCAATGTTTAGGTTCATTCTAGCAGCCAATTGTCTTCATGGCCTTCGTATGCCCCGGGACAAGTGATCTTGCAGAACCGAAAACCTTGTGCTCTTCCTGATTGGCAACGGTATGTGTGAAAACAAGGTGCAAACAACTACATTAAAACCTTGCAAGCTCGGGGATGGGGCTTGCTTCCTTTCTGAGGCAATCCATCTGACCATGGCTCTTGGAGGTCTCTCAAGTCAAAAGATCACCGCAAGTCAAAGCTGCCTAGATGGCAAATAACAACAATAAACTTGCTGTCCAACCACTCTCTTTGTCCGTCTAGACCAGAGCTTTCTAAAATGTGTGTCGACTGAGGTGTGTAGATATTCCATATGAACATAATGAGGATGCTCTGAAGCCATGTGGAATATGCAATACCAACTTGCATATGCATTTTTATGCAGCAAAGGTGCCAATTAGTATTGGTAACATTATTAATGTTGGTATTGGTAATGTGTTTTTACTCATAAATGACAGAAATCTTGGAAATGTATGATACTATCTTACAAATTATGTCTTTTAAAAATACAAGTGAAAGGTCTTCATGATATGTTGTGCCCCTGTACATTTTGTTATTACAATTTACGTATGTGTCCATATCACTTATAATGTATTGGTTTAACCTCTGGTTTGGTAGTAAAATGGAATGACTGTGTTGCAAAATCCTGCTTGTCTAAACAGTGACTCGCCAGCATGAAATGGTTGGAAAACTCTTATCTAGACAGTCCTGTTTACTCTGGATTTGCAGGTCCCCAAGCAGGAAAGGTTTGCTGTTCTCTGCTTAGGATCCTTATATCTAGAGATGCTGTGACCGAAGTTTGCATCTCACGCTTGAGACCATGCTGGCCAATCACACCTCCATGTGTGTTGCTCACAACTAAATTTTCTTGCTGAAATAGTGATGTTTTGGTGGAGATGCTACAGTTATATTAAACGATGAAATAAGTGGCATAATCTTGAACTGTATTTCAGCCCCACCAAAGTTCCCATTTCTGGTTCTCTCGCAAAGCCACGCTACCTTGAAGAACTGGAATCCTATCTGCGGAAAGAGCTGCAAGCTCTGGATCTGACGAAAGGGAAAGTTCAGGAACTGAAGCTCCAGGTCTGAGCACCAAATGCCTGTCAAACAAATACTTATGGCTATAAATAAGGGGCGAGGAATGAGTTTGTGGGCTCTTCTCTCCTCATCTCTCTCCATCAGCCGTGCTTATGTGGGCATTTTGGAAATGGATATAGAAAAGTAACCTGAACAAGTCCTGGAAAACTTCCACATCTCATTTTCCAGCTTTCATGAGATGGTTCCTAGCAAATTACCTTGAGGAGAACCACCTTTCTCTCAGAGGTAGACAGGGGCTTTCTGAGCAGTGCTGCACACTCGCAGTACCATTTTAATTTCTAATGTGGAAATTACTAACTGGGAATCACACTAACTTGGTGACTGAGGAGCTTCTTCACATCTTGCCACATAATCTGTCTGCAGTCCTAGGGCTTCTCCAGATGAGACAAATGTGGTGGGAGGCGGTTGTTTGTTGCTGGAGCTTTCTTCAAAAAAATCCTAGTAACATTTCTGTTGTGCCATTTCATGACACCTCCTGAATTTTAAAAATTCATACCCAGAACTGGGTTTCTTTTTAAATCCTAGAGATATCAGAAGAAAAACAATGCCTCTTGTTCTACAAGGGCCGGCCAGCCCAACACTTGGGCATTCGCCCAGTGCTTCAGAACCCTGTATTGAACTGACTAACTGCTCCTTGTGGAGGACTTGAGGCTTGGGCAGTGTGGGGTGGCATCCTAACATGCCACACTCGGAGCCCAGGCTCCCTGTATGATACACAGGCCTACTGTACATCCTTTCTGCGTGGGGGAGAGGGGCTATTGGGTTTCCACTTGCTGTGATAGCATGTCACAGGAGTGCTGGTAGTCAAGCCTCAAGCATACAACTAGCAGAGTGGAGCAGTGCAAACTTTGGTTTCCCTTGTTTTCTTTTTGCCTCCACCCAGCCTTATAGAGAAGTATTTGAATTCTTCATGGAAGAGTTTAAAACGTACAAGCCTTTACTGGCTTCCATCAAGAATGAGTACGACCTCACGATAGGTAAGAGGTGCTGCCCTATCAAGTATAACCATGATTCCAAATGAGCAAATCTGCACAGCAAACGCTCAGGGGCCAAACAGTAACCACTGGTACAAATTACCCAGCAAAGTGCTGATCAATTCTGGCTTAGTTCAGGAAAGGCAAAATTTTCCTTTGAATCCAGGTGAGAGAAGTTTTAGCCTTTGTTTTGGATTTACATTTCCATTGGCCCCAGTTAGCCAGGGGAGTGGGAAGAGATATAGCCTCAAAGCCCCGGAAGGCCAAGGAATCCCCACTCCTGATTGAAGTGTTACACGTAATAATCCCGGCAGTAATTCTGTCATAAGGGTATCGATGGGAGGAAAGCTCCTCGGCATGGAAGATGGCGCCACGGCACCCCTGCCACAATGGCCGGAGTTGCGCACAGCCTCCACGATGCCGGAATTAAGATGGGGAAAACTGCCTCTGCCTCTCTTTGTGTTGTCTCTCCTTGTGAATTGTATAATCAGCACTGAATATTTGCCCTAAACGTGTTCTGTAAGCCGCTCTGAGTCCCCTTTGCCGTGAGAAGGGCAGCGTATAAATACCATAAATGAATGAATAAATAAATAAACAATAAGTGGGCCTTCAAAATGCCATTTTTAAGGACCAAATCTCATTTAACCAAGACTTTACACTAGTGCTCACAGTTTTACTCTTTTCTTTTTTTGGACTATAGTTCCCAGAATCCCCCAGAAGAACTAGTACTTCTGTTTTCTGAGGAATAATTAGTCCAGGAAATATATTTTTTTCTTGATTCTGGAAAGTACATATTCTCTGTTAATTCTCTGCAGTCAACTCCCAAGTGCCTGTGAGTTTTGCGAGGCAAGGCAGTGCAGCAGCATCAGCAGTCCCCAGGCATGAAGGCCTCTTGAAAGATCCACTTATGTTTTCGTCACTTGATAAAGCCTTGAGACTTTCCCTTTTACCACTTGTAGCACATCTACAGCAGAAGCTCCACTCCTTGGAAGCCGTAAACGCCGTCCTGGTCACGGCCTCCGACCAGTGTACCCAGCAAATCCTGGCACTCCAGAAGCAAGAGAAAATGGAAATAACCACACTGAAGAAAGAGAGACTCTATCTGCTGGAACTCATTGACCAGATGAGAGAGGAGAAGAGTTCTCTGGAGATGCAGGTGACGCACTGCGCTGTTGCTCGTTTTGTATCACGGATCCCCAGAAACATAGGTTTATTCCTCTGTCTCCCAATGCAGTTCCAGTCTAAATTGATCTGTTCCTACAGTCTGATCTAAAATGGAGTCTGAGCCCTGAACAAGCCCAGACCTGATCACATGGTCTGCAGCCCCTCCCACAACAAAGAGGTTAAGGTCAAATGGCAAACCAATATACACATATAGAATACAGTAAACAATTATATACACAACAAACAACTAGTGGAGGCTTGCTATTTCCCACATAGGCTTTCTCCACATGAATAAAGAAGAGTTCGCTCTTTGAATAATAAGAATTATATCTCATGAGGGAGAAGGGGGGAGGGTCAGGATTTTAGAGAGGATTAGGTGGGGTTTGGCCAGAAAAAGGTTGGAGACCACTGTTTTGTGCCCTTCCGAGTACAACTGTCTTTTTATGAGATCAAGTGAGGTCACGATTGGGTTGTTGTAGGTTTTTCCGGGCTACATGGCCATGTTCTAGAGGCATTCTCTCCTGACGTTTCGCCTGCATCTATGGCAAGCATCCTCAGAGGTTGTGAGGTCACAATTCTTTCATCATTTCCATACTGAAAGCTCCTTTGGTACGCAATCAATGGCACATCATCACACATTAGTATTTCAGAAACTTGTGCTCCTTGTTGGGTTTTCGGAGCCAATCAAAAGCACTTCTTTTGGGGATTCAGTAATGTCACAGTGCTTTCTTTCCCTGTCGCCCAGTGGTTCTCAACCTGTGGGTCCCCCCCAGATGTTTTGGCCCACAAATCATAGAATCATAGAATCAAAGAGTTGGAAGAGACCTCATGGGCCATCCAGTCCAACCCCATTCTGCCAAGAAGCAGGAATATTGCATTCAAATCACCCCTGGCAGATGGCCATCCAGCCTCTGCTTAAAAGCTTCCAAAGAAGGAGCCTCCACCACACTCCGGGGCAGAGAGTTCCACTGCTGAATGGCTCTCACAGTCAGGAAGTTCTTCCTCATGTTCAGATGGAATCTCCTTTCTTGTAGTTTGAAGCCATTGTTCCATCGCGTCCTAGTCTCCAGGGAAGCAGAAAACAAGCTCGCTCCCTCCTCCCTATGACTTCCCCTCACATATTTATACATGGCTATCATGTCTCCTCTCAGCCTTCTCTTCTTCAGGCTAAACATGCCCAGCTCTTTAAGCCACTCCTCATAGGGCTTGTTCTCCAGACCCTTGATCATTTTAGTTGCCCTCCTCTGGACACATTCCAGCTTGTCAATATCTCTCTTGAATTGTGGTGCCCAGAATTGGACCCAATATTCCAGGTGTGGTCTAACCAAAGCGGAATAGAGGGGTAGCATTACTTCCCTAGATCTAGACACTATGCTCCTATTGATGCAGGCCAAAATCCCATTGGCTTTTTTTGCTGCAAAATCACATTGTTGGCTCATGTACTTGTTGTCCACGAGGACTCCAAGACTTTTTCACATGTACTGCTTGTGATAACCAGACATCCCTCATCCTGTATCATTGCATTTTCATTTTTTTCTGCCAAAGTGGAGTATCTTGCATTTGTCCCTGTTGAACTTCATTTGTTAGTTTTGGCCCATCTCTCTAATCTGTCAAGATCCCTTTGAATCCTGCTCCTGTCCTCTGGAGTCTTGGCTCTCCCTCCCAATTTGGTGTCGTCTGCAAACTTGATGATCCTGCCTTCTAGCCCTTCATCTAAGTCATTAATAAAGATGTTGAACAGGACCGGGCCCAGGACGGAACCCTGCGGCACTCCACTTGTCACTTCTTTCCAAGATGAAGAGGAAACATTAGTGAGCACTCTCTGTGTTCGTCCACTTAACCAATTACAGATCCACCTCACCGTAGTTTTGCCTCGCCCACATTGGACTAGTTTCCTTGCCAGAAGGTCATGGGGGACCTTGTCGAAGGCCTTCCTGAAATCCAGGTACGCTACATCCACGGCATTCCCCGCATCTACCCAGCTTGTAGCTCTATCGAAGAAAGAGATCAGATTAGTCTGGCATGACTTGTTTTTGATAAATCCATGTTGACTATTAGCGATGACTGCATTTGTTTCTAAGTGTTTGCAGACCGCTTCCTTAACAATCTTTTCCAGAATCTTGCCCGGTATCGACGTGAGGCTGACCGGACGGTAGTTGTTTGGGTCATCCTTTTTTCCCTTCTTGAAGATTGGGACCACATTGGCCCTCCTCCAATCTGCTGGAACTTCTCCCGTTCTCCAAGAACTCTCAAAGATGGTTGCCAATGGTTCCGAAATGACTTCCGCTAGTTCCTTCAATACTCTGGGGTGTAGTTGATCTGGCCCTGGGGACTTGAACTCATTAAGAGCGGCCAGGTATTCCTGGACGACTTCTTTCCCAATTTGGGGTTGGATGTCCTCCAATCCCTCATCCACTCCATCTTGCTGAGGTTGAAGACTCTCTTTTTGTGAGAAGACCGAGGCAAAGAAGGCATTAAGTAGTTCTGCCTTTTCCCTACCATCCCCTGTCAGCATTGCCCCATCTTCTCCTCGAAGAGGTCCTATCGCCTCCTTGTTTTTCCTTTTTCTACTGACATAAGAATAGAAGCCCTTTTATTGTTTTTAATGTCCCTGGCAAGCCTGAGCTCATTTTTCGCTTTAGCCTTGCGGACCTTTTCCCTTGCGGACCTTTTCCCCTACAACTCCCAGAAGTCCCAGTCAGTTTACCAGCTGTTAAGATTTCTGGCCAAAACACCTGGGGAGGGACCCACAGGTTGAGAAGCGCTGTGGGTAGCCAGTGGCAAGGTGAGTTTGTTGCATCCCGTGATTGGTGGCCTCCTCTCTCTTACCTGGCACAGGTGTATAAGATGCGAAAGGCCGTGGCTGAGGAATACCTCCGGTACCTGAATGAGTGCGATGCACGCAAAATGCTGATTATAGATCTGAACGAAATGTATCGCCTGAAGGAAGAAATGAAGCTCACTAAGGTCCAAGGTAAAAGGCACCTCCCCCTGTGGAAGCCAGGCTGGCTGAGGGATTTGGGAAGGTATCGTCCTCCTGAAAAGAACTCCTCCAAGTTTCGCACCAGCGACCAGCATCCCATTGCAAGAAGAAATCCTGTCTCTTGCACCCATTATATACAAATGCATGTTGTACATGGAATGCAAGTTACATTTCTTCTATCTACAGTCAGCCCTCACGAAAGGGCTGCCGTTAGCAATTGTTTATTAAGGCTTAGGCCATAAGTAATTTGCATACAAATAAATAAATACATTTTATTTTTCGTGTCAGGGGCTACTTGAGAAACTGCAAGTCGCCTCTAGTGTGAGAGAATTGGCCATCTGCAAGGACATTGCCCAGATGTGTAGCAAGGAGGCTTCTCTCATGTCCCCACATGGGAAGCTGGATCTGACAGAAGGGAGCTCATCCTGCTCCTCAAATTTGAACCATCGACCTTTCAGTCAGCAGTTCAGCCGGCACAAGGGTTTCACCCATGGCGCCACCAGAGAAACCATTTCTCAGGAAAATCACCTGGGAGCAAATCACGCAGCCACCTCAACATGAGAATTATAAGGTTTTGATGTGCTACCAGGTGATTTTCTTGAGGAATGCTTTCCCAGAGAAAGGCTTCTTAAAGTTTTTCCAGTTGTGTCCCCTTTTTGCCCAATAAAGTTTTATGCAAATTTATGATAATATGTGTAAATTTATGCAAATGTGGGATTCAAATCAAAAATTTCTTGATAATTACACATGAAGAAATTTATTTTACACATACAACAAAACAGCTACAAACCAGATTTCCCTGGCGACTGGTGAGCAAGGATGTGTTTTGGTGCATCACATCACAAGGTGCGGTTTCCCTGCTAAAGGGGGGTCGGGGGTCAAAGCAGGATCGGTGTAAACAAGGCCCAAGTCTTTTTTCCTTGCTCATTTGAAAACAAAACAGTGGACTAGTTCAACTTGGTGTGATGCAAGGGTTAAAACTTGCTGGACTAGGATTGTGAAGTTTCAGGTCCACTTCCTCCCCAAAGCTCATGAGGAACCAAAGCAGTGGTTCTCAACCTTCCTAATGCCGCGACCCCTTAACACAGTTCCTCATGTGGTGGTGACCCCCAACCATAAAATTATTTTTGTGGCTATTTCATAAGTGTAATTTTGCTATTGTTATGAATCATAATGTAAATATATGATATGCAGGGTATATTTTCATTCACTGGATCAATCTGGGCACAAATACCCGATACACCCAAATCTGAATACTGGTGGGGTTGTGGGGAGTAATTTGTCATTTGGGAGTTGTAATTTCTGGGATTTATAGTTCAGCTACAATTAAAGAGCATCCTGAACTCCACCAGTGATGGAACTTAACCAAATTTGGCACTCCCATGAACAAGAGGAAATACTGGCAGGGTTTGGTGGGCATTGACCTTGAGTTTTGGAGTTGTAGTTCACCTACATCCAGAGAGCACTGTGGACTCAAACAATGATGGATCTGGAGCAAACTTGGCACGAATACTCAATATGCCCAAATGTGAACACTGGTGGAGTTGGGGGAAAACAGGCATTGACCTTTGGGATTTGTAATTACTGGGATTTATAGTTCGCGTACAATCAAAGAGTTTTCTGAATTGGGCCAAACTTGACACACAGAACCCCTTGACCAACAGAAAATACTGTGTTTTCTGATGGTCTTCGGTGACCCCTCTGATGCCCCCTTGCGACCCCCCCAGGGGTCCCGAGCCCCAGGTTGAGAAACGCTGAACCAAAGAAACCTCTTCCTGGTTTGAGGGAGTCACTCCCATTCTGGTGGAGAGTTTCATCCTCATAGAAAACCACGATCAAAGCCACAGTTTCAGCAGTGAATAAATCTGGGTGTTCTTAAACCATTTTCTCTTAAAGATGAGAGAGGCGAAGACACCGTCAAGCTGACGCTGGCATTAAAGATGGCACGCCAGGACCTCACCAAAGCCCAAGTAGACCTGAACACCATGAGAGCCAACTATGGAGATGTCGTGCCCAGGAGAGAGTTCGAGTTGCAAGAAAAAAATTACAATGAGTTGGGTGAGAAGGTACCTGAGTAGTAGACTCTGCCTATTCTGTCGCGTGCTGGGCCTGTAAAGAATTCCCTTTAGAACAGGACGTGCAACCTTTGCCCAGCGGGAAGCCAGGGGGCCCAAGGAGAAGTTCTCAGAGGTTTTCCACCACAAATAGTCTTTAGATGGCTTGTGAAGTATAACAAAGACTTTTATTAATGAACAATCAAACAGAAACTTCTCTTGTCTTCAGTAAAGTTAAACAAATGCTTCCAGGCTTTATGCAACTGGTGACTTCCTAATCTTGCCCACGAAGGACAGGCAACTGTCTTCAATAACTTCTTTACTTTAAAGGAAAATCCCCTTTTTAACTTCTCCCAGGCTGACTGTAATCTAACCCTTACTGATGTGGGCTCCGCTACCGGGTCGAACTGCGTCTCGAACGCCGAGTGGACCTACCAGTAAAGGCTTAGATGTTCTCCAGCTGGAGTTCTTTGGTCTTTAGGGCTGTTTCCCTGGAAAGTCTTTGGAGACTCTTAAAACTGTTCTGCCCCGGAAATTCTTAGGGGCTGAAGCTTTTGTACAGGGGAAGCTTACACACGTCCTGTACATTGGTTTTCCTTGCTGAAACTTACTAAAAAATGGCTCCCTTCCCTTCCCAATTGCCCTGAGCAAGGGGTGGGACCAAACCTAACAATGATGGACAGGTGACTTGCCCTATGACTGCAACCAAAGGAAGCCACCCATCTGCAGAATCCCAGGAACCTTGGACTGCAAGCAAACATTTAATACAAAGCAAATAAATTTGGAGCTCCTGGTACAGCCGTTCCAGAACAGTGCGCTCCTCGTACTTCCCAGGTCAACGTATTATTGGGTGGCGGAGAAAGCGCCCGAGACTAGGGAGGGTCCTCTTCTTAGAGGGATGTCAAAAAACGTTGGGTCGATGATATGTTAATTCCATCTGACAGAGAAGCTGTGGATAAACCGATTCAGCAGGGGTTTGGTTATTTATTGTGTGAGAAGCAAGTTGAGAATACAGTTCTCGTGTATTAAAAAGCCACAAACAAAGTTTGAAACTTGGCATGAGGCTAGGTTTCCTTTGACCAGAAGCTGGCCACGTGGAGTGCCTCGGGTGTCGCTGTGAGAAGGTCCTCCGTGGGGCGTGCCGAGCTAACCCTTCCCCACCCCATGCTTTTTGCTTTGCAGATGGAAGCTCTCCAGAAAGATTTTGTGAATCTCCAAATGGAATATGACACATTGCTAGAGGTGCACAAGCAAGTTTCTGATGAGCGCGACCAATACCATAACGAACTCATCAGTGTCCAGCGTGCCTCCACCCCTCGGCCCGACTGGGACAAGTGTGCAGGTGTGCCGTTGAGGGTGGTGTCGCTGCTCGGGAAGACAAGTGTTGGGGGGGCCTTGCAGAATGGGCACCATAGGCATGCCTGCACCCAGGAACATCCCTTTTGGGGCCAAAACTGTATTTATCCATGTGACTCGGGACTTGCACGTGTAATTTAGTTTATGCCTATTCTGGGCCAGCCCTTACCCTAGGCCAGTGGTTCTCAGCCTTCCCTATGCCAGGACCCCACAATACAGTTCCTCATGTTGTGGTGACACCCCCCCCCCCCAAACCATAACATTATTTCGTAACTGTGATTTTGCTATTGTTATGAATTGTAATATGCAGGATATCTAATATGCAGGATAGTAGTAGTAATAATAATAATAATAATAATAATAATAATAATAATAATAATAGTAATAATACGCTTGGGAAGTGTTTGGCTTGTGATTTTGTGATATTTTTTTTATTTATTTATTTCCGTTACTTTTACCCCGCCCTTCTCAACCCCCGAGGGGGGACTCAGGGCGGCTTACACAACAAGGCACCGTTTGATGCCTATACAGTTACTGTTACACATAATAGACAGTCATAGTTAAAACAATTAAAACAATTATCACAATTAAAACAAACGAAGTAATCAGTAAACACACCCTATAGAAACTATTCGTGTGCTCAGCATTCGTATTTCCGGGTTCCAGATTCCATTCTATTAGACATTTCCTAAACGATATCAAGTCCTTCCTTTACCTGCCCGAATGACCAAACGCTTGGTCCCACATCCATGTTTTCAGTTTTTTCCTGAAAGAGATGAGTGAGGTCGCTGTTCTGATTTCCCCGGGGAGCGAGTTCCACAGGCAGGGGGCCGCCACCGAGAAGGCCCTGCTCCTCGTCCCCGCCAGCCTCACTTGTGATACTGGCGGGGTCGAGAGCAGGGCCCCCCTCGGCCGATCTTAAACTCCGGGGTGGGACGTAGACCTGCATATAGATCTCGTTTGCTGTGACATACTGTGGTTTTGTGTCAGTAAAATAATAATAATACTAATAATAATAATAATAATAATAATAATAACTGTGATTTTGCTACTGTTATGAATCATAATATGCAGGATATCTAATATGCAGAATAGTAGTAGTAATAATAATAATAATAAAAATAATAATAATAATAATAATAATACGCTTGGGAAGTGTTCGGCATGTGATTGTGTGATACAAAATCCTGCATATAGATCTCGTTTGCTGTGACATACTGTGGTTTTGTGTCAGTAAAATAATAATAATACTAATACTAACAATAATAATAATAACTATGATTTTGCTATTGTTATGAATTGTAATATGCAGGATATCTAATATGTAGGATAGTAGTAGTAGTAGTACTAATAATAATAATAATAATAATAATAATAATAATAATAATATGCTTGGGAAGTGTTCGGCTTGTGGTTTTGTGATACAAAATCCAGCATATAGATCTTGTTTCCTTTGACATACTGTGGTTTTGTGTCAGTATAATAATAATAATAGTAGTAGTAGTAGTAGTAGTAGTAATAGGGTTGCAGTGAGTTTTCCAGGCTGCCTGGCCATGTTCCAGAAGCATTCTCTCTTGACATTTCACCCACATCTATGGCAGCCATCCTTAGAGGTTGTGAGGTTCATTATAAACAAGGCAAGTGGGCTTTATAGATCTGTGGAATGCCCAGGGTGGGGGAAAGAACTCTTGTCTGTGAGAGGCAAATGTGCATTTTGCAATTGACCACCTTGATTCGCATTGAATAGCCTTGCAGCTTCAAAGCCTGGCTACTGCTTCCTGCCCGGAGAGCTCCTTTCTTGGAGGGTGTTAGCTGGTCCTGACCACCATGTCAGGCTACACAGAGAAGCCATTGAAATCCACAAGCATGTGGGCAATTTCAATAGAAAGGAGGAAACCATGAAAATGAACAAAATGTAGCGACCAGTATTAAAAAACAAACAAACTTGAGGGCCTATACAGAGAATCAGGTGGCTGCCCCATGGAGCAAATACTGTGTGCAGGTTGTCAGCTTCAGTCTCCTGGATTGGGCACCCTTGTGGCTTCACTCCACAAGGTGTTGAGAAGGATGGTCAAGCAGATGCCCCTAATCCTGAAACATTCTGCTTCGGTTAAGGGAGGGGACAGGCAATCACGAAGGCCACAACTGGACCCAGCACATTTGGCAGAGGGGTTGTTCTGTTGTGCACAATGCAGCACCTTAGAAGCACATTGACAATGCAGTTAGCTTATTGGATGTGTCGTTCTCCACATTTGTAATCTTGCGTTTGGTGTTTTCTCCCAGAGGTGGGCTTGTGATTGTAAGACGCTGCCTATCAGATGCCTTGAGACAGATCCACCGGATGACGTGGTGTGGATGCAATAGTAGCCACAATAAATATTGCTTTGCTGCCACAGAATAGGCTTCCCAATGAGCTCGAGTCTGTGTTTGATCGGAGTTCCCCACCATCAGCGATACTGTTTCTACCCACCTTGTTTCAATGCCATGTCCCTAGGGACAAATGAGGGGTGATGGGCAGGGGTTCCTCTCACCTGCTACACCCATTCTCTGTGCTGTCGTAAACAGCAGGTGTAACAGAGGCCATGATGGTTGTTCTTGACAAAAAGTGGCCCTTGGTGTTGCCACGCATGTTGTGACCGCTGTGCTCTAACCCTTTGCACCTTTTTGTTGCTGTAGATGTGATTGCTGGTGGCCTTGATCGCTGGAGCATTTTGTCCGAAGGCAAATCTAGTGACCAGCTGGTGGACGTACTTTTGGAAGATCTTGGCACGGGACTGCTCAAAGAAAGAGAGGCCTTTGTGGGGAAGGTATGTCCAGAAATGGCTGTTGCATCAATGGAAATTTATTTTCCCTGTCCTGATCAGTGCCATTCAGAGGTTCCGTAGAAGTAGAGATGCTTCTCATACCAATCCTTCCATCCCTTACGGCAGCATCTCTCAACCTGGGGGTCAAGACCCCTGGGGAGGGTCACAAGGGAGTGCCAGAGGGGTCACCAAACACCATCAGAAAACACAGTGTTTTCTGCTGGTCCTGGGGGTTCTGTGTGAAAAGTTTGGTTCAGTTCTATCATTGATGTAATTCAGAATGCTCTCTGATTGTAGGCGACCTATAAATCCCAGAAACTACAACTCCCCAAAGTCCACCAGTGTTCACATTTGGGCATATTGGGTATTTGTGCCAAGTGTGGTCCAGATCCATCATTGTCTGAGTCCACAGTGCTCTCTGGATATAGGTGAACTACAACTCGCAAAACTCAAGATCAATGCCCACCAAACCCTTCCAGTATTTTCTGTTGGTCATGCGAGTTCTGTGTTTGGTAAAGTTTGGTAAAATTTCATTGCTGGTGGAGTTCAGAATGCTCTTTGATTGTAAGTGAACTATAAATCCCATCAACTACAACTATCAAATGACAAAATCAAACCCCCCCCCCCCCAGTATTCAAATTTGGGCATACTGAGTATTTGTGTCAAATGTGGTCCGGATCCCTCATTGTTTGAGTCCACAGTACTCTCTGGATGTAGGTGAACTACAACTCCCAAACTCAAGATCAYTGCCCACCAAACCCTTCCAGTATGTTCTGTTGGTGATGGGAGTTCTGTGTGCCAAGTTTGGTTCAATTCCATTGTTTTTGGAGTTCAGAATGCTCTTTGATTGTTGGTGAACTATAAATCTCATCAACTACAACTCCCAAATGACAAAACCAACCCCCCCCCCCCTCACCAGTATTCAAATGTGGGCGTATCAGATATTTGTGCCAAATTTGGTCCAGTCAATGAAATTCCATCCTGCATATCAGATATTTACATGACGATTCATAATAGGAGCAAAACTCCAGTTATGACGTAGCAATGAAAGCAATGTGATGGTTGGGGGGTCACCACAACCTGAGGAACTGTATTAGGGAGTCAATGGCATTGGGAAGGTTGGGAACCACTACTCTAGATTGTGCCTTGATTCTGACTTTAGGACTGATAGGCCGGTATTTACTTCTTTCCTTCCTTAGGGGAAGAATGAGAAGGTCCCTGTCTTCCTGAGGTGTGACGGCCTGGTTAGAAACAAGAAATTATCCAAAAAGGAGGTTGTGGCCCTTCTAAGGGAAATCTGGCGAGATAAAAATACATTTGATCAACAGGTATCTTGATTTGTCTGTTTCCCGTTCTGATATGGACAGACCGGGAGGTGGTGAGGGGTAGGGGGGCCCTATCCTAAACTCCGTCTCAGTACCTCCAACCAGGCCGTGGAACGAAAACCCCTTCTTGGTGCCGGCATCCACGGAGAGTGGCACCCACAACTCACACACACATTGCACTGAGCTTCATTATTCCCACCCACCAGTCCCTGCCCTATTCCAACTTCTAGGGCGATGAATTCCTGCATCGGCAGGAGGTTAGATGGCCTTTGTGGCGTCTCCCTACTCTGGTTTTATGAAGTGCACAACCACCCAGGTACCCATAGGTAGGAACATTGCACCAAAGGAGAGGTTGCTGTCTGTGCGGCCAAGGTTCTCCTGCTATGGAAATCTACCCTCGGCTCTCCTTTTTGTGGAGATGGAGCAGGCACCATTGGCAGGAAATGTTATTAACAAGAGACCCTCCTCATAAATGTACAAGAGAGTAACTTGTGAGCAGCAGCGTGACCCAGCACCCGTCGCCCAAAATGGTAAAAAGGACGCAAACGCACAGACCAATGTGATCTCTTCCTTAGGAGGCTTTCCTTTGTCGTAAAATAATATGGTTGCACTACTTGCAGGAACCAGGTCTCCATAACACAAATAAAGTTCTTTAGTCTTCCTTCTTTACTTCCACGCTGGGCTTCTGCCTCATGCAGATAAGCAGCCTCGCTCTCACAGAGCTTTCTCTCACACCAAACTTACACAGGAGCTTCACACAGGAGACTTTTACTCACAACAACCTTCGCATTGGAGCTTTACACATCAGGCCTTCAACCTGTGGCTTCACCCCTCACACCAGGTCTTTTTGCACCAGGCTTGTCACACACTGAGGCCTACCTCATACTAAGGCCTCTCTCACACTGAAGTCATTTTCTCACTGAGGCAAACTAATACTGAGGCCTTCTCACAGGAGCTTCACATAGTAGCTGTTTACACACAGCAGCTTTTATACTAGGGTTTTACACTGTTTGCAGGAACAAGGTCTCCATAACACAAAGTTTAATGCAGATAAAAAGCCTCACTCTCACTGAGCCTCCTCTCACACAGAAGTTACACAGGAGCTTCACATAATACCTTTACACGCAGCTTTACACACAAGGCCTTTAACCTGAAGCTTCTCTCAGCAAAGCTTCTCACTCCAGGACTTGTTACTAAGGCCTACCTCACACCAGGCTTCTCCCACAGACTAAGGCCGGCCTCACACTGTGAGGCCTTCTCACAGACTGAGACCTTTCTTCCACTGTGGTTTACCTCAGATTGACAGCTACTAAGCTAAAGGCACATCTGCTTATATAGAAGTGCAGCTTTTGTGGAGTCATTGTATCCATTCAACCCTTTCAGTGTTTGACTCACATTTTTGTAATTAAAAACACCCAGTTAATATTTAATATTTCTGACAGGGTATGTGTTGTGCAAACCCTCCAACATTTTCCAGATGAATACTCATATATGCGTGGCCAAGACAGCAAGTGTTATTGAGGGGGGAAATCACAAGGTGGGAGAAAATACGGCAGTTCTCTTTTGCCTGAGCTTTCCAGTAATGGCAGGATTTTAACACACACACACACACACACACAATTTCATTCTTGCTGAATTAACTGAGTTCAGACTCCGTTTGCAGCAGTTAAGGTAATCTGGGGACAAAGAGAGAGAAACAGGGGGAAACAAGAGAAAATGGGACATTTCAGCACCAGCTTTAAAAATTCAGATGAAAAAGGAATGGCAGAACCAGAGTTGGAAGAGACCCCATGGTCCATCCAGTCCCACCCCATTCTGCCATGCAGAAAAAGCACAGTAGAAACACCCCTGACAGATGGCCTCCCAGCCTCTGTTTAAAAGCCTTCAAAGGAGGAGCCTCCACTGGACTCTGAGGCAAAGAGTTCAACTGTTGGATAGCTCTTAAGGTCAGGAAGTTCTTCCTCATGTTCAGGAGGAATGGCCTTCAGGACTGGATGGGAAGGGATGCAACAAGGACCCGGGACTAACTGTCCCGTGGGGTTTGGCCTTGACTCAGAGGGAGTGAGTCTTGTCTCTTTTTGCAGAAAGGAAAGCGATCCAACCTGGCCGAGTTCTTCCTAAACTTCTTCCAGAAAAAGTATGGCGACGTCTTTGCTTTCGACTGGACCTACACCATCTTCGAAAATATCAAACTGTATAAATCCAACGAAACGATGACCACGTTCTACAACATTCTGATGGGAACCGTGAGCAGTTTACCTTCTCATAGTCTGTTTCCTAAGATGCGCACAGTATCTAGATCAGGGAATTGGGTCGTTTCCTGGAAGGAGGCGCCGAAGGTGCAAGAGAGTTGAGTGCATGGGACATGCTTGAATGGTGTCCACCAATCAGCAGCACCTCTGGCGTGTTTGGCACATCAGTCCCTGCCTTCACATGCTGGTGATGGGGAGTTATAATCCAAAGCATCTGAGGGTCCTGCTCAATGGGGCTGACAGGAAGGAACCGTTTGAGGCTAATGCAGATCACAACATATTGCCAGCCGAGTGTGTTTCTGGGCAGTTCCCATGCAGGTGAATGTGGAGGTAACTTTCACATGAAGGGCCCTCTTAATACGTCTTGTATTTAAGTCCTCGCCGGTTTGTCAGGGCGGGCCATGAATGGGACTCCAGCAAGTGTCCCTTGCGTGGGAATCTGCCAAGAGGGAAATTCCAAATGAAAAAGCCACGCACAACACCCCTTCGGTTGGATTTATTTTTATTGTAGTGCATTTCCTATTTATGACACTAGGTTTCATGAGTGGGGCTTGGTTTCAGATGTGGGTAAGAGTGATCTTCCCAATGTTTTTGGACAGCAGACCCCTCGCCATTGGCTGTGGTAGCGGTCTCTGTTCAAAGCTCAAGGCCACAAACAGTGGGAGAGCCACAGGTGCCACAAAAGCTTTCACCCAGTTTCCACATGTTTTTTATTGGAAATTCCATAACCTATTGGAAATAACTGCACCATAACCTTATTGAAAATGTAAAAATGATGTCCTATCTATTTGGTCAATGTGAATCTCCATGAGCATGTGGAAACCACCTTTTGAAAACCACCAGTCACGAAAAGCATGACCTTGTTAGAAGCTACCTCTTGGAACAAGTGATATCTGTAAGCATTTGTGTAATGGCACACAGGTAGCTCATCTGTTCAACTGAAGAACCATGTCTGTAAACTGCCAAGGATAAAGGCGTGCCATTACAAAAACACATTGGGCTAGCAGGGGATGGTTGTTTCTTTGAAGGTGAAATTTGCAGTTGCCCAAAAGATAAACACTCCCTTGAAACCTCTTAGTAAAAATAGGCACTCATGAGATAAAAACAAAGTCTTCTTTGAAAAACAACCTATGTTGTTTACTCTGAAACATCTGGTATTAATGCACATTTCTTGTTAAGGTTCAGTAATGGATGGATGTAGGTTTCTCTGTGTTGAATGCACAGGGTCTCATTCTTAATCAACAGTCCATAGTCTTTAGGGATAGTTGTCCTCACTGTAATCATCAATCACACTTCTCTACTTAAGTCTCTAAACAGCAACCTGCTTTCATTGAAGACTCAATGCATCGATGCGCCCACCTCCACTGAGATCTGGTGCAAACTCTGCTAGCATTGAAGTCCAAACAGATACATCCAAGGAAGAAGCAAACGGAATACAAAACAGAGTCCCGGGTGGTCTGCACATGCTCAGTACAATCACATGTCTGTAGCCCCTCCCACACCAAAGAGGCCGGTCAAACTAGTAAATCTACACACACTTAGAATGCAGGTTAGCAAATATTTACGTTAACGAATGGACCGTGAAAGGCTTGTGAGTTGCTGTTTCCATCAGTTTTGGACTTCAGCTCCCACCAAACTAGCCGGGATTCCTGGGAGCGGAGGTCCAAGAGATCGTGAGGAGCCTGTTTTGGGGAGACCCTGCTCTAACCTGGCTGTGCCGCCCCCTCTTTTGCAGCTGGACGAAGGCGTCTACCACAGCCACATCCTGCAGCTGAGCACACTGTTCAGGGAGCTGACGCTTGCCGACACTGCCAGCACTGGACAGCTCACCAACGAACAATTTACGTAAGAGCTTGCAAGAGGCATCCCATCCCATCCCTACTCGTGTGCAAACAAAGAGAGCCACAGGAGGAGTAGAAAACATACTGTGATTTAAACCAGCTTAAGCACACCGACGTTGTTTGGCTTTGAGTTGTGTCCATGAGTGGCTTGGCATTTGTTCATATTCAAAGTATCTTGGGAAGCAAAAAACGAAGGCTGGGCGTTGGATACAGAAGTGTGTGTGCTTCTGCCTGAGTTTGCTCACCTACGGCTGCCCCCTTTTAGAAAGCTGGCCTGTGCCAGAGCTTCAACATTTTCCACTCGCAATACCTTTCAATTTGAGAAATTTTATGTAACCCCAGGAATATTGGTATACAAAATAGGTATTTCTTTATATATTTATTTATCGTGACAGAAGCAAACTGAGGGTACAGTTGTAATATATTTAAAAACACAAACACAGTTTAAGAACTTGGCATGAGTTGCCTTTCGGTATATAAATCTAGTAAATAAATAAATGATGCTAAATGTCCTTTGACCAGTCTGGCCACTTGGAGTGCCTCTGGTGTTACGATAAGAAGGTCCTCCATTGTGCATGTGGCAGGGCTCAGGTTGCATTGCAGCAGGTGGTCAGTGGTTTGCTCTTCTCCACACTCGCATGTCGTGGATTCCACTTTGTGGCCCCATTTCTGAAGGTTGGCTCTGCATCTCGTGGGGCCAGAGCACAGTCTGTTCAGCGCCTTCCAAGTCGCCCAGTCTTCTGTGTGCCCAGAGAGGTGTCTCTCATTTGGTATCAGATTCTGGGTTTGAGCCTGCCACTTTTGGACTCTTGCTTGCTGAGGTGTTCCTGCAAGTATCTCTTAGGAAACTATTTATTGATTTGAGGCATTGGCATGCTGGCTGATATCTGAAAGGGGATGAGCTGGAGATGTCACTGCCTTGGTCCTTTCACTATTGGCTGCTACTTCCCGGCGGATGTCAGGTGGTGCAATACCAGCTAAGCAGTGTCGTTTCTCCAGTGGTGTAGGGCGCAGACACCCTGTGATAATGCGGCATGTCTCATTAAGGACATCAGGCAGGCCCCGTCGCTAGCAATCTTTAGGAGGAGCTTGAAAACGTGGTTGTTCCAGTGTGCCTTCCCAGAATAAGGAAACTCCTAGCATTATGTCCCAACGCACTTTATCAGAGATCTAGGATATCTGCATGCCCATCCCCCTCCAAACACCCCACCTTGTCATGCCCAGCACTTTTTAATTTTAATTATTACATTTGGCCCGGCCATTATTTTAATTGCGTCATTGGATGTTGTTAATGTATTGCTATTCTTTGCTATTGCTTTGTTTTTTGAGTTATTGTGTTGTTGTTGTTGTTTTATTGTTGTATTTGGGCTCGGCCTCTTGTAAGCCGCACCGAGTCCTTCGGGAGATGGTAGCGGGGTACAAATAAAGTATTATTATTATTATTATTATTATTATTATTATTATTAGAGCCACATCCGCTGTTGTAGCGTGGTGAGAAGTGTTCCACACTGGGCATGCGTACTCAGCAGGAGAGTAGCACAGCACAAGGGCAGATGTCTTCACAGTGAAAATTGGTACAAAAATAAAACATTTACTGAATGACAGCATTTGTAAGTTTTGCTAAAGAGGCTGTTTTTCCTTTTTGTGGAGTACAGCTGAAGCATTTCCTGCAGGGGCCACGGTAAACACTGCAGGTTGTTGCGAAAAGATTTGTGCAAATGGGTGGCATTCAGAAAAGTCTCTTTGTGATTGATCCCAACATTGAGATCAGGGGACTCCATTTGGGACAGGTGGGGGAGAGAGAGAGAGAGAGAGAGAGAGAGATCTCATCCCTTCTCTTTCCCTTCTCTTCCTCCAGCCTCGCCCTCAGGACAGCTTTCCCTTCAAAAACTGAAGAAGAGATCCAAGAACTCCTCGATGCCGCAGGATGCAAATCTGAGCTGGACAGCATCACGTACCGGTCCCTGTTCTTAGAGGTTGGTGGCTCATAACATCGGAGGAGGAACTGGGAGGAGGCGTGGGAGTGGCGGGGCGGTCAAGGCATGGACACAGCCCTTGCGGCCAAGTCGAGCTCGCCTTTCTGAGCAACTCTAACACAGGATAAACACACAAGGAAATCAAGACAGCAGGAGAAGAGGAGCAGCGTTGCATCTGCAAACGGGCACGTAAAGGGGGGCAAAACTTTAGGGGTTCTGCTAAAATAACTGGCTTCTCAGCTTGAAAAGGCCTTTGTGGTTTTGCAGGACGAGGAGGGGAAAACAGAACTCCTGGTTACCAAAATCAAGAGCCAGTCTATGAACGAGAAGCTGACGTACCTGCGTGAGCTCCGCACTGAATTAGGAAACCGGCTGTGAGTATCAAAACCTGGACATTTCAAACTGCTAAAGTTAGATCTTGATTTCCTATCAGTGGGGTTGAATTATAGCGGTAAAGCCACAGGTTTCCCCTTGACGCTCAGTCTAGTCCAGTCCAACTCTTTGCAGTGGGGCTTATCTCCATTTCTAAGCCAAAGAGAAACCGCTTTGAGTCATCCCGCCCAGGGGTCAGAAAGGCGGTATATCAATGCTGCAAATAAATAAATAAAGATCCGGTGTTGTCCATAGGCACCTCCATGGTCATGTGGCCAGCATGACTGCATGGAGCACCATTACCTTCCTGCTGGAGTGGTACTTATTGATCTACTCATATTTGCATGTTTTTGAACTGCTAGGTCAATTGATGTAGGTATGGGCCAATATTCAGAAACCTGGAAAAATCGGCACTCCCAAACACTTCTGCTTCTAAGCATTTTGGGTAATGATACTCCACCTGTGGAGCCAAGCAGAGGGCTTGCCACTGACCGTTTGGCCCTTCCTTCCTTCCTTCCTTCCTTCTTTGCCCTCAGGGAGGTGAAGCCGGAGGACCTGAGGGCCGCCTTCTGCGCCATTGACCCGGGCCTGCCTGAGCCAGCGCTCGACTCTTACGTCTCTTGGGCGTTCCAGCTCCCCAAGGAGCAACCGGATCCTGCAGAGACCCTGCATGTAGACCTCCTGATGCAGAGGCTGATGAACGGAGATATTCGGCGGCAAGAAGTTGTTCCGGGAGAGGCAAAGAACGCGCCCGCCCCTCTCGCGGGAGAAGAAACCGAGGGCCCTGCCAACGCCTGACTCGCCTCCATCTCCTCCCTCTCCCTCTCCCTCTCTTCGGAAGTTCACGGAGGAATGACCGTTTAGTGAGAAGTAGCCAGGACTCAGCTGACTTCACTGAAAAGGTGAGCGTAAAACACAACTCCCCTTGGAACCGTCCTTTCCGAACCCAAATGAATGAATAAGAGATTTCCACCATAACACAACACTGTTATTAACAACCCACTGGCATTGGGAACATGCAACTTTAAGTTCTCGAGCCAGATTGTCATGATTCACCGAGGGAAGGGAGCACGCCTTCAGACCCAGTCCCAGGAAGATCACAGGTTGTGCACACAAACTCAAAGACTTTTCCGCCACAACTGGATGATGAAACCCAACACCCGGTTTAAAATGTACACTTTGTTTATTTTGCTTTTTAAAGTTTCAGGCCCATGTCCAAATCTAAATAGATGCCAAGGCCCCAAAATGGAGGTATTCAAAAAAGAAAGTACTGGAAAGAGAAAGTGACAAAAGAAGCCGCTTCCCTAATGGTTGGGCCAGTGGGCTGAGGAACAAAAGGCCATCTCCAGATTTGCAGCTGTGGAACCCGGGACCAGCAGCCAGGAAACAAGCCACGGGACACAAACCTGCTCACAGATTTGTATCTTCTCTCCTTCGGAGGTTTTTCCCATGGAGCAAAACTAGCGCAGCTGCAGCATTTACAAAATAAAGTTCCTCGTAACACCAATCAGCTTCTTTGCTCTTGGCTTCTCTTCTTGCACGCAGAGCGTTTCACTTACTCGGGAATCAAGCACAGGACTTACACAGGGTCCAAACACAGAGGCTCTCATGCACAGCCTCTGCTACTCACACAAAGGCTCTGCTCCAGAGGCTAACAACATCACAGCCACACCTGCCAATATCACGCTGCTGCAGGTGTCACTTAGTCATGGCACCCTCCTCTTCACCCTTTCCGTAAAGGTAAATATCTTCCCCTGACATTAAGTACAGGGGGGCCTGACTCTGGGCCTTGGTGTCCATCTCCATTTCGAAGCCGAAGAGCCGGCGTTGTCCATAGACACCTCCAAGGTCATGTGGGCGGCATGGCTGCATGGAGCGCTGTTACCAGAGTAGGAAAGGACAATGACAATGCTGGATGGATTATGGATTTATGAATAGGCAAACGCTGACCACAAGATGATTTTATTGCTGCTATTGTATTGATTTGATAGTTTTAACTAGTTATAACTGTTGACGTTAAACTGTAATTTGTATATTGTATTTTGTGAATTGTTGGGCATTGAATTGTGCCTTTTGTAAGCCGCCCTGAGTCGTCGTCCCCCCCCCCCCCCCCCCCCCCCCCCGGGGGTTGAGAAGGGCGGGGTAGAAGCACTCCAAATAAATAAATAAATACATACATACATACACACCTTCCCACCAGAGTGGTACCTATTGATCTACTCACATTAACATGTTTTCAAACTGCTAGGTTGGTAGAAGCTGGGGCTAACAGCAGGAGCTCACACTGCTCCCTGAATTTGAACCACCAGCCTTTCGGTCAGCAAGTTCAGCAGCTCTGCAGTTTAACCCACTGCCCCACTGGGGCCCTTTCAGTGCATGCCCATTGTTTTTGTAATTACAAATACCTTTGTAATGTTCACAATGCGTATTCAGTATATTTGTCTCTGCCAAGTGCAAATCTAGATTTAGTTCACTAGCCCAAGGTTGGCTCAGTAAGTCTTTTTTGCTAGTCAATTAACTGATTAGGTTTAAATAATAACAAGAATAATACTTTATGTATATACACCGCTCTATCTCCCCAGGGAAAACCAGGGCGGTTTCCAAGCAACATCATCAAAACATACAGAGTCACAACGTGAACAAAAAACAACCGTAACAGCAACATAAGCATGGAATTACCCAGCAACACATCAATATTAAAAGGAAAAATCCTGCCTGCTCCTCATGTCTAGTTGTTAGGACATGGAAAAGGAATGGGTCAGGACAATTACAGAGGCTGGGCCAAGACCTATACATACTGAAATCAGATGGGACCGGCATTTGGGGTCAGGACTGTAATAGGTAAGCGACAAAAGCAGGGCCGGGCCGTTTCCAGGGGCCTGCCAGGAGAATGGCCAGGGTCATATACAGGGGGCCGGGTAGTTTTCGGACAGTGTCTGGGCTGAGCTAGCAGTGGTCACTCTTGAAGATTTGTTGAAACCACCAAGTCTTCAAACTCTTACGAAATGAGTTTGAAGAGTTTGTCTTATTTCCCTTGGAAGGGCGTTCCAGAGATGGGGGGCCACCACCGAGAAGGCCCTCTCTCGTCCCCACCAACTGTGCTTGTGACGGAGGGGGGACCGAGAGGGGGGACTCCCCACGCAGGCAACTAGGGATGGCGTCAAGAGACATTAAGCTCTTCTCTTGACCGAATAAATGGACAGTGAGTGAATGCTGAGGGCAACAGGCCAAACCCAGTATTTATGAAATACTTCACAGAGAAAAACGTCATGAAGATTTGGATCAGAAAATTAACTGGTGCTGATATGAGAAGGGGTTGCTAGGTGGTCGTTCCTGTTTAGTCAGTCACTTTGCAAAAGCACTGCCATTCCTGGGCTTTCTAAGTCAAGTACATTTGAATTGTCAAGGAAATCCGAGTCCACGCGCTTTTAGTGATGCTAAATTTTATTAATAGAGACAGGCAGGACACATTTAAGCCTCTCCGCTTTTGCCTCCTGGAAGACTGCCGAGGCAGAGAGAAATATAATAGAACAATACAACATTCTGTTTTTGCCGTAGTGCACAAAGTACAAAAGACAGCAAACACTTACCAATAATATATACAAAACAGCATGAAGCCCCTTCCAGCGAGAAATACTCAAGGAAACCGCAATAACGGTGGATTAATCTCAATGCAATGCAATGTCTAAGCAAGAGAGCATTTCTAAGACCCCCCCCCCCAGATACAACATTTCTTTCTCCAGAGTTCTTTCTCCCAAATGGAGAGAGAGAGTCTTCTGCAGAAGAGCCTTTCGCTGCGGCTTCATTTCCGTTTGGAAGGAACGACTCTATTTCCACTCGTAGCAACCGGAATCAAGAGCTTCCGATACTCCAGAGGCATATGCTGCTCTATCAGCACGTTTAACGGCCGGTTCTCCGTTACCAGGCCTTGCCTGCATAAAAAAGAGATTTGGGAGGGGGGGGGGGAAGGGGGCACGTGAGTCGAGTAGGCAAAGGAGACGCCGACGCCCACTGATGTTGGTTTGTTTACACCTGTCGATCAGAAGCCCGGCAGTACTCAACCGCCCCTTACCGCCTCATGAGGAGCTCCACATCGGCAGGCTCTGTGATCTTCCGTCCAGCATGTTTCGTAAAGACGTCCAGGTCATCACTCAGCTGCTTAAAGTACAGGCTGACGCTAGAAAAGGGATGATGCCGAGGGTCAGCTCTGCCGTTTCCAGGCCGGCCATACACCCCTCACCAAGAAGACGGTCTGTTCTGCGAGCCCTCCACCAAACCAGGAGCCCCCAAAATACCTGTTTATTTATTTGTTTATTTATTTATTTATTTACAGCTTTTCTATTCCGCCCTTCTCCTCACCCTGCAGGGGACTCAGGGCGGATTATAGTGTACACACGTATGGCAAACATTCAATGCCAATTTTAACATACATCATATACAGACAGACACAGAGGCTATTTGACTTTTTCTGGCTGCCAGGGAGCTGTCGCTTTCATTGTCCATCTGTGACACTGATGAAGTACTTCCGCATTCCCCGCATGCTTCCCCGCTGGAGTGCTTGCTGGAGTCTTTTTTTTTCATAAATTAGCTAATTTAGCCTCCCCACACATTAAGGTGGTACCTAATTTTCCTACTTGACAGATGCAACTGTCTTTCGTGTTGCAAAGGTCGACAACAGGCTACACAATTGGTTGGAAACCCACTCCAACCCTGGCTGGCTTCGAACTCATGACCTTTTGGTCAGAGTGATCTTAATGCAGCTGACACTCAGCCAGCTGCGCCACAATCCCGGTGCCTGTTGCTTCAGGTGCTCAAGAAGTAAATACTTGGCTGTTTGGTTGTGCATTTAAGTAAAGTGATCAGATCTAATTTGCCAAATAGTCACTGTTGAATGTTTTTATGTGGAATGTTTCTATATTGTGTAAATGCTATTTTAAATTGGAAGTCGCTCGGAGCACTTTGGTGGAGAGCGACTAATTAAGAAATAAAGTGAAGTGAAGTGAATAGGTTGTAGGTCAGAATGCAAGACCAGTTCGTGAGGAAAAAGCTGGCAGCACGTGGCTCTCTTGACCAGCCTCCTCCACACCATTCGCTCACAGGAAAGGGGTTTTCTCACAACTCACCTCCTCTCAACAACCTCGAAAGCATCCTTGGCAACCGGCATCTGCACATAATGGCTAAACAACTTCTTGATCAAGCGGCTGGGGAGTTCACTCCCGTCTTTGCTTCTGCGGGCTTTCCGAGGTGGCATGGGAGCCCGCTTAGCCTCGCCCTGCTTGGGAGAAGGCCTCCAAAAGAAACACAACAAGTTCAGTACAAAAAGAATGTGGTGAGGGACTTGAGGTGTGTAAGACGCCCTTGGACACAACCCCCCCCGCCCCCGCCCCCAGCCCGCATGGCCAAGAGAGACGAGGGCGGGGGTTGAGCCTATCGCGAGCGGAAGGGCCACCGCTTCCCCACCCCTGCTGCACAGAAACTGCGCACACATTGGCCCCGGCCTGCTCTTGGCTGTTGCCAAAGAGCAGCACTCTAGGCATACTCAAGGATTCCACCCGACTGCGTTATGCACATACCCGGAGGCGCCCGCTTGCAAAGTGTGTGGGGTGGCCAACATCGGGGCACAATCGAAGGCTCTGGCACGCACAAAGGCCGGTGTCTTCCCAGTTGGATCTGGAAACAGAGACAGACGGGCTTGCGCGTGCATCCCATACAAATGGGTGGCAGCAGAAATTCCTTGGATCTCCTTTCCTGGACATAAGCCGGGACCACCCATCCAGTTTCCTCACCAATGTTCTCAAAGTCCGTTTCAGGATCTGTCATCTCCTCAGACTCGGGATCCGTTTCAGCTTCTGGTTCAGTCTGCATGTCCAACGCCTCTTGCAGTTCCCTTCCTTTGCCCATTTGTGGAGTCCTTCCATCCACCATTTGTGTTGCAGGCGGGCTCTTCCCCTCCGTGGTGTTCCTCCTCCTGACGCAACTGCCTGGAGTTTCCACTCTGGTTCTTGGAGAGATCTGATGAGCTGCAGACCAACAATAAATAAGAACACGAGTTCACTCAGGATCTTTTAGACCAGCATTTCTCAACCTGGGGGTTGGGACCTGGGGCGGGGGGGGGGGGGGGGGGGAGAGAGGATTCAAAGACCATCAGAAAACACAGTATTTTCTGTTGGTCATGGGGGTTCTGTGTGGAAGTTTGGCCCAATTTTATCATTGGTGGAGTTCAGAATGCTCTTTGATTGTAGGTGAACTATAAATCCCAGCAACTAATATTCCCAAAAGAGAAAATCTTTCCTGGACATAAGCCGGGACCACCCATCCAGTTTCCTCACCAATGTTCTCAAAGTCCGTTTCAGGATCTGTCATCTCCTCAGACTCGGGATCCGTTTCAGCTTCTGGTTCAGTCTGCATGTCCAACGCCTCTTGCAGTTCCCTTCCTTTGCCCATTTGTGGAGTCCTTCCATCCACCATTTGTGTTGCAGGCGGGCTCTTCCCCTCCGTGGTGTTCCTCCTCCTGACGCAACTGCCTGGAGTTTCCACTCTGGTTCTTGGAGAGATCTGATGAGCTGCAGACCAACAACAAATAAGCACACGAGTTCATTCAAGGTCTTTGGACACGTATTTGCATGCTGCTCCTTAGGTCTATTTAATGACTATATGTATATGCCGCCCCTCTCAACCCAGAGGCAACTCGAGGTAGTTTACAGAAGGCCTGCTGCTACAATCACACAATTCCCAAATACGACACATGTTTACAAGCCTGTTAAGAACTTCATGAAAGAGGTGAACCATGTAGCCCTGCACTCAGTCTACGCAAGACAAAAGAGCAATGGATCTGCACCTTCTGGGCAGTGTTTTGTCTGATTTTGACTACTAAGCCTATGCCAACTACGGCTCCCACGTGTTCTTCGTGAGCTTCTCAGACACATTCCTTTTGTGGAAAGAGGTTGGGGAGGGAAGCCTCCAGAAAACCTCCCCATTGTTCTTCAATAATAATAATAACTAGCTGTCCCCTGCCATGCGTTGCTGTGGCCCAGTCTGTTGATCTGGAAAATAAAGTAATGAGAAAGTGCTGGCCTGCTCATTGTTATGTTATTTTATTTTATATTACTGTGTATGATTTTGCTTTATCGTCTTTGTACTCATAAGTTGTATGTATTTTATTGTGTTGTTGATGTTTTGGTTTTACTTTATTGTAATATGCTGTTGGGCTTGGCCTCGTGTAAGCCCATTGGGGAGATGGTGGCAGGGTATTAAATAAAGATTATTATTATTATTATTATTGTTTTCTAATATATGTAATTTCTTTCTGATTGTGGGCAAACAGTATTTCTTGTTGTTTCTTTGTCAGTGTTGATGTGGAGAGTGTCTGGTTTGCCCACCCTGGAACATGCAAGATATCATTGTCCTTCTTTAAGGGTCCCTTTCAAATCTATGATACTATATCTCTGTGTGTAAATCATATCTATCTATCTATCTATCTATCTATGGCTGGATGGCTCTTTGTCAGGAGGACTTTGATTACGTTTTCTTGCCCTGGTGAAGGGAGTTGGATTGCTGGGATGGCCTTAAGTATTTTCTGTTGGTCATGGGGGTTCTGTGTGGGAAGTTTGCCCCATTCTGTCGTTGGTGGGGTTCAGAATGCTCTTTGATTGTAGGTGAACTGTGAATCCCAGTGACTACAACTCCCAAATGTCAAGGTCTATTTCCCCCAAACTCCATCAGTGTTCATATTTGGGTGTATTGAGTGCTTGTGCCAAGTCTGGTCCAGATCCATCATTATTTGAGTCCACAGTGCTCTCTGGATCTAGGTGAACTACATACAACTCCCAAATGTCAAGGTCAATGCCCACCAAACCCTTCCAGTATTTTCTCTTGGTCACGGGAGTTCTATGTGCCAAGTTTGGTTCAATTCCATCATTTGGTGGAGTTCAGAATGCTCTTTGATTGTAGGTGAACTATAAATCCCAGCAACTACAACTCCCAAATGACAAAATCATAATTTTTTGAGTGATGGTCACTCCTTGTGTTGTGAGATGTTTTGCTGCCAAATTTGGTGTGATTTCGTTCATTGGTTCTTTTGTTTTTAAGGTACTCATTATGCACAGAGCATCTTTATATAGATAGATAATAATCCTTATATTCCGCTGTATCTCCCCAGTGCGGATTCCAAACATAAAAGGCAATCATTAATGACTGAGTACAGCAGCAATACACCCATAATAATGAAAATTGACAACTCAACATCTAAAAACAAATTATGCCTTAAGAACGATAATGAAATAAAAAACACAACCTGTGACATCACACATAAGACAGCAGTCTTTCAATCTTTCTTGCAAACACTTTCCGCAAACCCTGCAATCCAAGGTATAGATGCCTCCAGACAAGTGGTCTCTGGAGAGTCATACCACGGTGTCCCTTCGCTGCACGCACTTACCCCTTTCATTGGGGAAAAGCTCCTCCTCCTCCTCCTCCTCCTCCTCTCCTTCTCCTTCTCCTTCTCTGTTGGCTTCTGAGATACTTTTATCCAGCTCCTCGATTAAGTGTGACACCATTTTTCTCACTGAACGCCTGTCAGACTTCTCCTTGGATAACATGAACGGGGAGCCTGGTTGTGTGTCTTGCACACTGTTGTGATGAACGGGCGTGGATGATACCACAGGATCCGCCTCTACATCAGCAGAATTGTGTCACATGGAAGAGAAGGACAGCGCAATATATAAGCAAGAAAAGGCACCCCAAGGCAAGGTTATGCACCTAGGAAGATCCTTTTCCTATTGGTTTCCCCCCCCCCCCCAAAGTTGCTCCGAAGCCACAACAGGTTTTTCACACTGAGAAAACAAAGGCATTGGAAGCAACAAGTCCCCCAAATCTCCTGCCAGTGCAGAAGGAAGACACGGAAACAAGAGAGAGGCAGGAAAAGATCCAGAGGCACCCTTCGTACTCCACGTACTTACCAGTGTTCAGGTGCCACCTGGGACTATTCTGGGGAGGCCGCGCTCCCTCCCCAGTCAGAGACGGCACGACGGAAGCATGCGGAGAAGGCGCAAGGGAAGCCTCTTCGCCCTCCTGCCCACGGAACTGAGGCTGCGCAAAGAGCTTCGTGGACACCGAATGCGCCTCAGTGTCATTTAACTCAGAGTCCAAGAGATCGCTTTGTGCTGTTGGAAAAATTACAAGAAGATGGATTGCCAAAGGCTTTCATGGCCAGAATCACTGGGTTGTTGCAGATTTTTCCGGACTGTCTGGCCATGTTCTAGAAGCATTCTCTCCTGACGTTTCACCTGCATCTATGCCAGGCATCCTCATAGGTTGTGAGGTCTTTGTTGAGAGATGATTAGCTGTCCCCAATTGTTTCTTGTCTGGAATTCCCCTGTTTTTGAGTGTTGTTTTTTTATATATTGTTATAATTTTAGAGTTTTTTAAAATACTAGTAGCCAGATTTTGTTCATTTTCATGGTTTCTTCAGACAAAGACAAAGACCCACCCAGAGGGAAAGTGCTCTTGCCAGACATCAAGGGAACCACTGACCGCAGAGGGAAGAAGCTGAGGAGGAAACACAACATACAAACTACCTCCAGACCCACCAAGGAAATCCAACCAATGCTCCTACGTTCAGCAAAGGACAAGAGGGACCCTCTCACCTCTGCAGGAGTCTACCATTGTATCCCACGCAGCCGTGGACAAGAAGTCTCCAGAGGGACCCCCAAACACACATCAAGGAACATGAAAGGCACTGCAGGCTAAGTCAGCCAGAGAAGTCAGGAACCAACCTGGACACAGCAGATTATTGGAGAAGACAGAAATGCTGGACCACGCTCACATCCACCATGTCAGGCGACACAGAGAAGCCATTGAAACCCACAAGAAGCATGTGGACAATTTCAACAGAAAGGAGGAAACCAGGAAAATGAACAAAATCTGGCTACCAGTATTAAAAAAACACTAAAATTACAACAGTAAATAAAGAACAAAACTCAAACACAGGGGAACTCCAGACAAGAAACAATCAGGAAGAATTAATCATCCCTCAACAAAGGATTCTCCCAGGCAGTAACAAGCCATACCTAAAAACTGCTAGGCCCTCAAATGCTAATCAAGGTGGCCAATTGAAACATTCCCACCTAGCTCCAACAGACAAGAGTTCTTTCTTCCACCTTGGACCTTCCACAGATATGTAAACCCGATTTCCCTAGTTTCCAACAAACCTCTGAGGATGCCTGCCAGAGATGCAGGCAAAACGTCAGGAGAGAATGCTTCTAGGACATGGTCAGACAACGCATTACAAGAATAGACGACAGCTTCAAATGGTGATGCTTAGCCATGCATTGAACCATTTCACACAAACACTGTAAGAATGTCAAAACCCTTATTTCTGTCTTTAGAAGTTTAGAGTTATTGCCACTCAAAGAGCTCGAGCAACGCCCAAACACATATGCGTGACAGGCTGTGAGAAAGTGAACTCACATTCTTTTGCACGCTGCAAGTTCTCGTCAATGCCTTCTTGAAAATCCTTCAGATTCAGGCTTCTGTAATTTTTGGGCCGACGGAGCAAACCCTTTTTCCCAGCCGGCTCCAATGGTGCTGGAGTCCGAAAAGAGACCTGGAGGGACCTGAGAACACAATAACCCACCGGGAGTAGGTTCTTGAGTGTGTCGCACCATGGATGATCTCTCTTAGCATGACATTTACACCGGCCCCGCTCCTGCACACCCCCCCCCCCCATCTTTCTGAAGCCGTTTACACACTGCGGCACCCACACAACCCCAGGTTTCTTAACTCGGCCCCAACCACGTCCAGGGATCTTGCAACACAGGCTCAGGTGTCGGCGGTGTCCGGGAGGGCCTTTGCACAACTGAGACTTGTGCGCCAGCTGCGACCGTACCTCGCGAAGGCTGATCTGGCCGGGGTGGTCCATGCCTTGGTCACCTCTAGATTGGATTACTGCAATGCGCTCTACGTGGGGCTGCCCTTGAAAACGGCTCGGAAACTCCAACTGGTCCAATGGGCAGCAGCCAGGATGTTAACTGGTGGCTCATTATAGAGAGAGAACCCCTCTGTTAAGGAGCTCCACTGGCTGCCATTTATTTTCCGAGCCCAATTCAAGGTGCAGGTGCTACCTACAAAGCCCTGAATGGTTTGGGACCACCCTACCTGCGTGACCGCATCTCCGTCTACGAACCCACACGCTCACTTCGGTCATCTGGAGAGGCCCTGCTCGTGATCCCACCCGCGTCGCAAGCGCGCTTGGTGGGGACGCGAGACAGGGCCTTTTCTGTGGTGGCCCCCCGACTTTGGAACGCCCTCCCAAAAGATCTTAGACAGGCCCCTACATTGGCAGTCTTCAGAAAGAATTTAAAAACTTGGCTGTTCCGATGTGCCTTCTCAGATTAGGAATCCCCATCACCAAGTCCTAGAAGCACTTTAGTAGAATTAAGATCGCTGCACACCGCACTTATTTTATAATCCTACATTCCTCCTGCCACTTCAGCACTTTTAATCCTGTACCCACTGCTCTGGCCGGCCCAGTTTTTAAAGTGTCCTGATGTATTGTTACTGTTGTTGTTTATTTTGCTTAACTGTTTTGATTTGCTTCTGGTATTGCTGTTGTATTATGTTCTGTTGTACTGTGTTTTGAGGCTTCGGCCTGTGTGAGCCGCATCGAGTCCTACGGGAGATGCTAGCGGGGTACAAATAAAGTCAATAAATAAATAAATAAATAAATAAAGTGCAAATGTTCCTCCCATCCGCACAAATACATTGAATAAAGACACATCGGTGTAATGACGACCGTATATGCTCGAGGATAAGCCGAGTTTTTCAGCCCCCGTTTTAGGCTGATAAAGCCCCCCTCGGCTTATCCTTGAGTAAAATGTATTTATTATTTTACTCTGTTGTTGTTATTGTTATTATTATTATATTTATTATTACACTCAATTGATTATTTTTACATTTAAATTATTTTACTCTAGTATTTGTTTTATTATCATTATATATATATATATACACACACACACACACACACACACACACACACACACACACACTGTATATACTCGAGTATAAGCCTAGTTTTTCAGTCCTTTTCTTAGGCTGAAAACGTCTCCTCCGGCTTATACTCGAGTCAGTGTTATTTATTATTTTACTTTGTTGTTGTTGTTATTATTATTATTACATTTATTATTTTATTATTACGTTTATTATTTTACTCTATTATTGTTATTGTTACATTTATTATTTTACTCTACTAATGCCTAAATTAATATAATTTTATTGGTATCTATTTTTATTTTGAAATTTACTAGTAGCTGCTGCATTTCCCACCCTTGGCTTATCCTCGAGTCAATACGTTTCCCCATTTTTTGTGGTAAAATTAGGTGCCTCGGCTTATATTCAGGTCTGCTTACACTCAAATATATACGGTAACACTCTACAAATTAACAAAAAACAAATCAAAATCAAAGTGGCTTACTTTGTCAGGGACGTGTTTTCCAGCGTTGACTGAGCTGGAAAGAAAGAGCAAAACACTTATGAGGTGGCGATGCCAAAGAATCTGTAAGTTCTATGTTTAGCATACTTGAGATAAAGTGGCCTCGTGGGCTCTACAGTTGCCTTCGTGTCCACCACCAAGACATGGACTTGGAAGGCCATCGTACTCAGAAAACGAGGGGTCACCCAAGTAAATAAGTAAAGTAACCTTAGAGGAGGGGTGATCACCTACTGATGGGGAGATATTGGGAAAATAGGTATGTATTTATGCATATATTGTCTGTACTTTAGAAGGACTGAAATGTATAGAAAAATCAGGTTCTCTTTCACTTCACTTCATTTCTTAATTAGTGGCTCTCCACCCAGGTGTTCCGAGCGACTTACAATCTAAAATAGCATTTACACAATATAAAAACATTCAACATAAAAACATTCAACAGTGACTATTTGGCAAATTAGATCTGATTACTTAAATGCACAACCAAACAGCCAAGTCTTGAGTGCCTTTACAAAAGGTCGCAACTCCGACATTGCTCTAATGTATGGAGGCGATGAGTTCCACAGAATTGGAGCAGAGGTCGGAAAAGCTCTACTCTGCCTTGTAGCTTCCAGGTGTCCCTCCCTCCCTCGGGCCTGGGATGTAGAGGAGATTTTCCTGGGTGGATTGAGGTGACCACGGATGGAGAAGAGGAATGAGGCGGTCCCTAAGATACAAAGGTCCTTGGCCATTTTGAGCTCTCAATGTCAGGATGATGTAAGAGATCCGATGTTCTATTGGTAGCCAATGCAGTTGTTGCAGAATCGGTATCATATGGGATCTTAGAGATGATCCCACTAGCAGCCTGGCCAATGCATTTTGGACCATCCGAACCTTCTGGGTTGTTGACTTGGGAAGGCCGGCAGATAAGGCGTTGCCATAGTCCAACCTCGTGGTGACTGTTGCGTGGATGACCGTTGCCAATGCTTCTACCGAAAGGTAGGATGCCAATTTCCTTGCCTGGCGAAGATGGAAAAAGGCCTGCTTCCTTCTGGCTGTGATCTGGGCCTCCATCGTCAGCGATGGATCTAGACACTATGCTCCTATTGTCGCAGGCCAACATCCCATTGGCTTTTTTTGCCGCCACATCCCATTCCTGGCTCATGTTCCCCTTCTTCCTCCCCACGAGGAGGACTCCCAGATCTTTTGCCCACGTCCTGCTCTCGAGCCAGGCCTCATCGTCCCCCATTCTGTCTCTTTGCATTCCGTTTTTCCTGACAACACATCCCACTTCCACAATCAAGTTAATAATGCGCTAGAATTCCCAGGTTCACCCTGGTTTCCAAAGCTCTTTACTCACCAACTGAGTCCTGTTGATTATCCACATTTCTTTCAGACAGACGAATCTTTTTCGATACAGGTCTGTGTTGAGCTGAATGGAAGTTCTCTTCAGGAGCAGAGTCAGGTGAACTGGCTTCTACGTTACTAGGAAAGATGGAAAGACACGTCTTCAACACCAAGCGAGAGCAGAACGCACTTTTCAAACAGGCATGCTAACGTCCCCTCTGTTGTCTCTGTGGAAATAGAGACCTGTCTTCACAATGTTTGAGAAAGTGCCAACTGAAACCACGTGCTTCGCCAGTGGTGGCCCTCTTGCTCCCTCCAAAGCCCAGTCTGACTTGGCCACGGTGGTCCACACTTTGGTTACATCCCGTTTAGCCTACTGCAACGCTCTCTACGTGGGACTGCCTCTGAAGACTGCCTGGAAGCTGCAGTTAGTCCAACGCTCGGCAGCCAGACTACTAACGGGTGCTGGGTCCAGGGAGCACACCACTCCGCTGTTACACCAGCTCCACTGGCTGCCAATTAGCTTCTGAGCACAATTCAAAGTGCTGGTGTTAACCTATAAAGCCCTAAACGACTCCGGCCCTGTTTACCTCTCCGAACGTATTCTCCCCTATGAACCATCAAGATTATTAAGATCGTCTGGAGGGGCCCTGCTCTCGGTCCCACCGGCCTCTCAGGTGTGGACGAGGAACAGGGCCTTCTCGGTGGTGGCCCCTCGACTCTGGAACTCTCTCCCACTGGTCATCAGAACCGCCCCGTCTATCCTGACATTCAGAAAACGGGTGAAATCCTGGCAATGGGGTTTGGCTTTCGACGAGTGAATCAATATTTCTGTGATCGGATAGATGACGATGAAGGATGGACAACGAATTCACTATGACGACTGACCATTGTTATTATGTGATTGCATTTTGCTATTATAATGTTTTAATTGAATATGTTATATGATGTTTTTAATGATTGTTTTGTGATTTTATTGTTGGAAACTGGCCCGAGTCCCCTGATAGAGGGGAGAAGAAGACCGGGATACAAAATTGCTCAATAAATAAATAAATTATGACCTGACCCTAATGACCTGCTGACTCCCCATCAAAGAAGTCTGGCACACGAAGGCCTGCCACGGAAGTCTCTCAAAGCTCCAAGTAATAATAAATAATAATAATAATAAACCTTTATTTGTGCCCCGCTACCATCTCCCAAAGGACTCGGTGCAGCTTACAAGAGGCCGAGCCCACATACAACAATAAAGCAACAACAATAATAATACAGCAAAATAAATCAAAACAAAGCAATAACATTAACAACACACAATGACGCAATCAAAAACTATGCCAGGGCCAAATGTAATAATTAAAATTAAAAAGTGCTGGGCATGACCAGGAGAAAAGGGAAGGTGTCTGGAGAGGGATGGGTTTGCAGATATCCTGGATCTCTGATAAAGTGCGTTGGGGACAAAATGCTGGGAGTTTCCTTATTCTGGGAAGGCACACTGGAACAGCCACGTTTTCAAGCTCCTCCTAAAAATTTCCAGCGATGGGGCTTGCCTGATATCCTTAGGGAGAGAGTTCCAGAGTCGAGGGGCCACCACCGAGAAGGCCCTGGTATACACCGGTATACACTTGCCATTCAGTGACTGCTACAATAACCTCCTTCCTTTCCCGTTTCTCACTAAAATTTCTATTTCTCAAAATGACTTGTAAGTTGTCTTCATCCCGCTTTTGGAATAACAGAATAATTTTTAGATCCTTCCGTATTTTGCGCAACACCGAGAAGCAGCTTTACAATACGGTACCAAGTCTCTTTTATCATTAATTTCAGGAGGATTTGCCCAAGTAAATAGCTTTAGGATTCCCATCTTGATCATATTTTATTTAAACAGAAGAAAACTACTTACCTGTGGGGTTGATGCCTCAAAGATAATTGCAAGGCGGAGTCCACAGGCTGGGAGCACCTGGGTTTTGCAGGAGCCAGAGGAGAACGGACCGGCTCTGCCAAAAGAACACAATTATTTATTTATTTTATTTACTTTACTTCTATACCGCTGTTCTCAGCCCGGAGGCGACTCATGGCGGTTCACAAGACAGGACACGGCAAAATTCAACACCAATATAAAACAGTTAATAACCTAATCTAATACACAATTAATACACAATTACTATAATAACCATTCTCTAAGGTCTCATCCCTAAAACATGATCCAGATTCGTCATCCATTGTTCCATTTCTATGTCATTACCAGTCATTGCACAATTATTCGAAGGCCTGCACAAACAGCCAGGTCTTCACTTTTTTGCGGAATACCATTAGAGATGGTGCTAACCTAATATCCGTGGGAAGGGCGTTCCATAGCCAGAGAGCCATTTTTACTGTTGATACCCAAACAAATTAAAATTTAAGCATGGAATTGAGCTAAATGGCTATCCCTACCTGCTCTTCTAAAGCAAAGTAATACTTACCTATCTGTACCCGAGTATAAGTTGACCTAAATATAAGCCGAGGCACCTAATTTTACCACAACCCCCTGCCCCCCGGGAAAGCGTATTGACCTGAGTCTAAGCTGAGGGTGGGAAATGCAGCCAATACTGGTACATTTCAAAATAAATATATATACCAATAACATTATATCAATTGAGGTATCAGGGGGTGAAATGTTTTTGAATATTTGCTACATTTCAACAAAAAGACAGTAAACTAGCTCTGCAAGTGGAAAAGAAGGATCAACAAAAACAACATGGGATCAGCCATAACTTAATAATAATAATAATAATAATAATAATAATAATAAAACTTTGTATTGCGCGCCATCTCCCCATGGGAAATCAGGCCGGCTTCCAACACAGTAACAGGCAAGCGGTCAATGCCTATATAAACAATGCAGGGCTAGATATAGATCTATAATTATAGATATTAATTTCACATATGAAAAGTTTGCAAATCCTCTCTCTAGGTGTACATTTCCCTCCCGCAATATTTGCAAGCCCTATTTATATCTATGTAGACATCTCTCTCTATATATGTGAGTGCACAATATTTGCAAGCCCCATAGATCTATATTCATATCTAGACATGTGTGTGTGTGTGTGTGTGTGTGTGTGTGTGTGTGTGTATATATATATATATATTTTCTGTGTGCATTTCCCCCTGTAATATTTGCAAGCCTCATGTATTTATATTGATAAACGGATAGCAGCTACACCTCAGCTATCTTCTGTTTTACATGCAAGCAAGAGGGCCAAATGTTCGCTCTTCATTTTCTAGATGCATGACTCGTTTGAGAATAGCGGGGTGATCTTCTTTATACACTGCAAACACATTCCTCCTCCTCTTCCTCCTCCTCTTCCTTCACGGAAGCGCCACACCTTTCCATTTCCCACCAACACTCTTTCTCCTACTTACGGGTCTGCAGCACTTTCTTGAATAGGAACCGAGGTGTTGCGACTTTCGAATCGGTGGAAGTGGAGGGTCTTTGGTTACTGGAGGAGGGTAGGTCCTTGAGAAAGAAGAAGGCACAAATACTGAAAGCAGGTAAGAGCGGCACACACCTAGGGGGTTAATCTCAGAATTCTTAAAAGCGTATATCCACCCCAAAGACTAAGGCAAGGAGAAGGAGCACGATCAAAGGGTGAGAGCATGAGAGCTGGGCCCGGAAGCTCCGAGTGCGAGGGAGATGCCGCAAAGGCGGCTGTGAATAAGGGAAGGGGGGGGCGGAGTGGGAACAGGGAGAGCCAAGGAAGGATGGAAAGGAGGGGACGTGGTGGTAGTATGATTGCTGGGCCCGGAAGCTTCTAGATCTAGGGAAGTCATGCTCCCCATGCTCTATTCTGCCTTGGTCAGACCACACCTGGAATCACACTGTGTCCCATTCTGGGCACCACAATTAAAGGAGAGGTTGGCCCTAAGCTGGACTGTGTCCAGAGAAGGGTGACTCAAATGATGAAAGGTCTGGAGAACAAGCCCTATGAGGAACGGCTTAAGGAGCTGGACATGCTTAGCCTGAAGAAGAGAAGGCTGAGAGGAGACATGATGATAGCCATGTATAAATATGTGAGAGGAAGCCACAGGGAGGAGGGAGGGAGCTTGTTTACTGCTTCGGAGACTAGGACACAATGGAACAATGGCTTCAAACTACAAGAGAGGAGATTCCATCTGAACATGAGGAAGAACTTCCTGACTGTGAGAGCCGTTCAGCAGTGGAACTCTCTGCCCCTTGTGGAGTGTGGTGGAGGCTCCTTCTTTGGAAGCTTTGAAACAGAGGCTGGATGGCCATCTGTCAGGGGTGCTTTGAATGCAATATTCCTGCTTCTTGGCAGAATGGGGGTGGACTGGAGGATGGCCCAGGAGGTCTCTTCCAACTCTTCTAGGATTCTAAGTGTGATGCACATGACGCAAGGGTGGTTGTGAATCAGGGAAGGGGAGAGGAGAGGAGGAGGAGGAGGAGGGTGGGAAGAGACTTCCATTTGGTGGGAGGATTGAAAGGAGGGGATTAGGGTTAGGGGGAGGGTTAGGATTAGGGGGAGGGTTTTACCGATAAAGAATTCTTACATTCCTTCTATAATATCTCTGCGTTGTGTAAACAGGGCTCCTAAAAGAGTGAAGCGGAAAGAGTGCCAGGCTCAGAGCTGCTTCCAGACACCCAGCTCTCCTTCTCTTGCCAAGGACGCTTAGAGTAAGGGTGAGGGCAAGGGGTTAGGGCACGGCTCAGGGTGAGGGCTTCACCGTGAGAGAAGACCCCTTCCTCCCCCCCCCCCTTGTGTCTCCTCTGCCTCCGGCCTGCCCGGCCTTAGCGAAGCCTCTCTTGCGCTAACAGTGCTCCCGAAGGAGCCAGGGGGCATCTCTGGAATGCAGGGAGCTTCCGGGGACCCAGCTCTCCTACTATGACCGACAAGAGCAGAAGTACTACTACTACTACAGCTTTCTTTGTATACTGCCCTATCTCCCCGAGGGGACTCTGAGTGTTTCCCCCACCTCTCTCTGTCTCTCTCTCTCTCTCCCAGGAAGCCAAGACACAAACAGACAATAGAAACTAGGTTCTTGTAGGTTTTTTCGGGCTATAGGGCCATGTTCTAGAGGCATTTCTCCTGACGTTTCGCCTGCATCTATGGCAAGCATCCTCAGAGGTAGTGAGGTCTGTTGGAAGTAGGAAAATGGGTTTATATATCTGTGGAATGACTGGGGTGGGGCAAAGAGCCGTGCAAAAAGAATCTGCAAAGCCCACCTCCTCCAAGATGAACTGAACCACCTCAACTGGGCTCTCCAGGCCAATGGAGACTCCACCTCAGACATCAGAAGAGCTGCAAGACCAAGAAGAAGCCACAAGAGTCAAGATGAAGATCCACCCAGAGGAAAAGGGTTCCTGCCAGACATCAAGGGAACCACTGACCGCATAGGGAAGCTGATGAGGAAACACAACATACAAACTATCTCCAGACCCACCAAGAAAATCCAACAAATGCTACGTTCAGCAAAGGACAAGAGGGATCCTCTCACCTCTGCAGGAGTCTACCATTGTATACCATGCAGCTGTGGACAAGTCTACAGAGGGACCACCAAACGCAGCAGCATTGCCCAAACACGAATCAAGGAACATGAAAGGCACTGCAGACTCCTTCAGCCAGAGAAGTCAGCCATAGCAGAGCACCTGATGAACCAGCCTGGACACAGCAGATTATTTGAGAACACAGAAATGCTGGACCACTCTCACAACCACCATGTCAGACTACACAGAGAAGCCATTGAAATACACAAGAAGCATGTGGACAATTTCAACAGAAAGGAGGAAACCATGAAAATGAACAAAATCTGGCTACCAGTATTAAAAAACTCTAAAATTACAACAGCAAAACAGCAGAGAGGAAACAACCAGGCACATCTTAACACCTCTCAACAAAAGATTTTCCCAGGCTCAGGCAAGCCTTCAAATGCTAATGAAGGTGGTCAGTTGAAACATTCACACCTAGCTCCAGCAGAGAAGAGCTCTTTGCCCCACCCCAGCCATTCCACAGATATATAAACCCATTGTCCTATTTCCAACAGACCTCACTACCTCTGAGGATGCTTGCCATAGATGCAGGCGAAACGTCAGGAGAGAATGCCTCTAGAACATGGCCATATAGCCAAAAAAACCTACAACAACCCAGTGATTCCGGCCATGAAAGCCTCTCAACAAAAGATTCCCCCAGGCACTGCCAAGCCATCAAATGCTAATTAAGGTGGTCAGTTGAAATATTCACACCTAGCTCCACAGACAAGAGTCCTTTGTCCCACCCTGGTCATTCCACAGATATATAAACCCATTTTCCTACTTCCAACAGACCTCACTACCTCTGAGGATGCTTGCCATAGATGCAGGCGAAACGTCAGGAGAAAAATTGCCTCCAGATCATGGCCCTATAGCCCGAGCACACCTAGCTCCAGCAGACAAGAATCCTTTGTCCCACCCTGGTCATTATTCCACAGATACATAATCCCATTTTCCTATTTCCAACAGACCTCACTACCTCTGAGGATGCTTGCCACAGATGTAGGAGAAACGTCAGGAGAGAATGCCTCTAGAACATGGCCATACAGCCCGAAAAACCCCACAAGAACCGAGTGATTCCAGCCATGAAAGCCTTCGACAATACAGACAATAGAAAACGGAAACATTGGCACGGACGGTGGACCAGTTCGGCTCCCTCCTTGGTGCAAGGGAAGCTGCCCGGGGCCGAGGCTGCAATAAGGAAGGAAGGGCCGAGGGGAAGGGAGGGGGAGGTGGGCAGCGGGCCCCGCACCCCCAGGACTACGAGGAAGGCAGGCCTGGGCCGGGAGAAGGAAGCCAGAGGGAGGCAGGGAGGGAGGGAGGCAGGGAGGGCTGAGGCACTTGCCTTCTCCTCTGGCCGGGAGAGGAGGGAGGGGAGGCCGAGGGGGAGGAGGAGAGGGAAGGGCGTCCCTTCAGGCGCAGAGACCTCCGCGCCGCCCCCGGCTGCTGCTGCCTCTTCCGCCCGCTCATCCTGCCTGCCTGCCTGCCTGCCTTTCTTCTTCCCGGCCTGCCTCTCTTTCTCCTTCTCCCGCCTCCGTTTCAAAACAAGCCCAGCGCCTCTCGCGATACTTCCCCCCTCGCGCTTGCTGTTCGCGCGCCTCGCGAGGGTGGATGGGAAAGCCCCGCCCACCAATCGGGTGACGTAGTCAACCATAACAACAACAACACGAGAGAGAGAGAGAGAGAGAGAGTCTCTCGGAAGGCCAGACAGGGGGGCGTTCATAGAATCCTAGAGTTGGAAGAGACCTCCTGGGCCATCCAGTCCAACCCCTTTCTGCCAAGAAGCAGGAATATTGCATTCAAAGCACCCCTGACAGATGGCCATCCAGCCTCTGCTTAAAAGCTTCCAAAGAAGGAGCCTCCACCACACTCCGGGGCAGAGAGTTCCACTGCTGAACAGGAGAATCATAGAATCCTAGAGTTGGAAGAGACCTCATGGGCCATCCAGTCCAACCCCATTCTGCCAAGAAGCAGGAATATTGCATTCAAAGCACACCTGACAGATGGCCATCCAGCCTCTGTTTAAAAGCTTCCAAAGAAGGAGCCTCCACCACACTCCGGGGCAGAGAGTTCCACTGCTGAACAGCTCTCACAGTCAGGAAGTTCTTCCTCATGTTCAGGTGGAATCTCCTCTCTTGTAGTTGGAAGCCATGGCTCCATTGTGTCCTAGTCTCCAGAAGCAGAAAGGAAGCTCCCTCCCTCCTCCTCCCTGTGGCTTCCTCTCACATATTTACTGCATTGAGTCGCCTGTTTGGGCTGAAAAATGCGGTATAGAAATAAAGCAAATAAATAAATAAATAAATAAATAAATATTATACATGGCTCTCATCATATCTCCTCTGCCTTCTCTTCTTCAGGCTAAACATGCCAGCTCCTTAAGCCGCTCCTCATAGGGCTTGTTCTCCAGACCCTTGATCATTTTAGTCGCCTCTCTGGACACATTCCAGCTTAGAGTCAATACCTTTCTTGAATTGTGGTGCCCAGAATTGGACACAATATGATTCCAGGTGTGGCTTCCTCTCACATCTGGTGCCAGGAGCCCTGGGGGAGAGGGACTGCCAGCAGGGGACCCTTGAGGGTGGTGATGATGATGATGATGATGATGATGATGATGATGATGTGGGCTTTCCGTATGGCTGCCTGGCCCTCTTCCAGAAGCACCCCCTCCTCCTCCTCCTCCTTTCCAACATATAATCATCATCATGAACGTTGTTTCTACGCAGCACTTTCTACTGATTTAGGACTGCTTGTACGTTTCCACCAACGCCCCACCTCCTCTACCTTGTTCATGCCCAGCATTATTTTTAACTTACTTAAATTTGGCTCAGCCATAGATTTTAAATGTGTTTTGTGCTATTGTTCAATGTTTATGCTATTTGTGTATGAGATTTGTTTTAATTGCTTTGTATTAGTATTTCTATTTTGCTTCGTATTGTGGTTGTTATTGCTTGTATTAATGTACTGTGGGCTCAGCCTCACATAAGCCGCACCAAGTCCCTTGGGAGATGGTAGCGGGGTATAAATAAAGGTTATTATTATTATTATTATTATTAATTATCTCTAGCTCATCCCCTGTTTGGGTATCAGCCAGCATGTCAACGACTTAAATCAAGACATAGTTTTCTAAGATCTACAGAGACACTTGCTGGAACACCCCAGCAAGCGAGAGTCCAAAAGAGGCAGGCTCAAACCCAGAACCTCAACCAATGGCTGGTACCCAATGAGAGACTCCCTCCTGGACACAAAGAAGAGTGGATGACTTGGAAGGCACTGAACAGACTGCGCTCTGGCACCACGAGATGCAGAGCCAACCTCAAGAAATGGGGCCACAAAGTGGAGTCCACGACATGCGAGTGTGGACAAGGGCAAACCACTGACCACCTGCTGCAATGCCCCCTGAGCCCCGCCACACGCACAAGGGAAGACCTTCTTGCAGCAACACCAGAAGCACTCCAAGGGGCCAGATGCCAGTCAAAGGACATTTAGCATCATTTATTTATTTACTAGATTTATATACCGAAAGGCGACTCATGCCAAGTTCTTAAACTGTGTTTGTGTTTTTAAATACATTACAACTGTACCCTCCGTTTGCTTCTGTCACGATAATTAAATAAATACCTATTTTGTATACCTATATTCCTGGGGTCACATAAAATGTCTCAGATTGAAAGGTATTGTGAGTGGAAAACATTGAAGCTCTGGTACAGACCAGGTTTCTAAAAGGGGAGCAGACGCAAACAGAAGCACACACACACCCAGCACATCAAAGACCCAGTCTTCTTCTCTTTTTGCTGCAACCAAGGGGTAAGCTGGTAGGAATTGTGGGACTTGAAGTCCAAAACACCTGGAGGGAGGGAGGGAGGGAGGGAGGGAGGGAGGGAGGGAGGGACCAAGTCTGATCTAGAAGGTCTTAGTATTTATATTGATATCAATATTATTGCTGATTGTATTATTATTATTATTATTATTATTATTATTATTATGATGTGAAACACAGCAAGATGAGTCCTCAGCAGACATGATCACTCTGCTGGCTGTTGTACTGGATCACACGTCGGATGGATGGAGCCCCCGGTGGGTGGCGTAGTGGGTTCAACCCCCCCCCCCCCCGGTGCCGGCACGACTGAAGACCGACAGGTTGCAAGTTCAAATCCGGGGAGAGGCGGATGAGCTCCCTCTGTCAGCTCCAGCTCCTCACGCAAAGGGACAGGAGAGAAGCCTCCCTCCCACAAGGATGATACAAACATCAAAATCATCCGGGCAATGTCCCCTGGGCAACGTCCTTGCAGACGGCCAATTCTCTCACACCTGGAGCAGTTGCTCCTGACACGACAAAAAAACCAACAAACCCCCCACGTCGACTATTGGCCCGCCTGACATCCGCCGGGGAGGAGCAGCCAAGAGTGGAAGGACCAAGGCAGAGGCACCTCCTGTTACAGGCATGGAATACAAGTGCCTGGTTGCTCCTGGCACGATCAAGGGATCCGCCGCAGTGGTTCTCTCTCGGCCTGTGCCAGGAGCAGCCGCCGGGGAAACTGCAAGTGGCGCCTGGCGTGCCAGAGTCGGCCGCCTCCTGTTCCTCCCCCATCGCCCTGGGGGGGGGGGGGGCTGCTCCGGCCGTGGTGGCGCCGCCGGCCCGGAGGAGAAGGCAGGGGCGGGGGAGAGGGTGCAGCGGGAGGAGGGCTAGCCCCGGCCTTCCCTTCTGGTGAACGGGGCGGGAGTGCGGGAGTGACAGGCCGCGGCGCCCACTCACTCCCGTTGGGCCTGCAACTCCCAGAAGCGCCGCCCAGCGCCCCCAGGGAATGCCGGGAATGCCGGGAGATGTAGTCCACAACTACACGCAGGGGGAGGGGGAGGGGGAGGGGGGGGGCGGGGGCGGCGCCTGGGATTGGCCGGCCCGGGTGCCACGTCAGAGGCGCGCGCCGCTGCCTCCGCCGCTGCCTCCTTCCCCGCGGTGCCTTGTGGGGCGGGTAGTTCCGTTTCCTGCCTCGGCGGCGGCGGCGGCGGCGGAGGGGCGTCGGTGGGTCGGTGGGTCGGGTGGCGGCGGCGAGAGGGAGGATGCCGGGCTTCACGTGCTGCGTGCCGGGCTGCTACAACAACTCTCACCGGGACAAGGCGCTGCACTTCTACACGTTCCCGAAGGACGCGGAGCTGCGGCGCCTGTGGCTGAAGAACGTGTCTCGGGCGGGCGTCTCGGGCTGCTTCTCCACCTTCCAGCCCACCACCGGCCACCGCGTCTGCTCGGAGCACTTCCCGGGCGGGAGGAAGTCCTACCTCGTCCGCGTGCCCACCATCTTCCCGCTCCGGGGCGTCAACGAGAGGAAGGCCGGGCGAGGGGGCGGCGGGGGCGGGGGCGGGAGGAGGCCGGGGGGTCCGCGCGGGCACGCCCCCCTCCACCCCTCCGCCGCCCAGGCCGCCGCCCAGGCCGCCGTGCTGCTCACCCTCCAGGAGGCCGGCCAGGCCGGAGGGGGGGCGGCGACGGGCAGCGAGGCGGCGGCCTTGAGGGCCGGGATGGGGGCCGAGGACGTCAAGCCCATGGACCTCACCGTCCAGCTCGAGCTCGGAGGGGCCGCCGCCGCCGCCGCCGCCGCACTAGTGTCGCCCATGAGCCTGGCCAGCTTCCTGGCCCAGAACGGGGGCGCCCTGGGCGGAGGAGGAGCCCCCGGCGGAGAGGGCGGCCCGCCCGACCACTCGTACTCGCTGTCCTCGGGCACCACCTCGGAGGAGCTGCTCCGGAAGCTCAACGAGCAGCGGGACATCATCGCCCTCCTGGAGGTCAAGATGAAGGAGATGAAGGGCAGCATCCGACGCCTGCGCCTGGCCGAGGCTCAGCTGCGCGAGGAGGTCCGGGAGAAGGACCGCCTCCTCCACGCCGCCACGCTCGGGGGCAGCAGCAGCGGCAGCGCACACCGCAAGCGCCACGGGCTCTGAGGCACCACCAGCCCCCTCAGGACTGCGCTCCTGGGGGCACCCCCACAACACCCGTCTACAAAGGCGGACCTTGGTGGCACCCCCACAACACCTGTGTGGAAAGACAATCCTGGCGGCAAGACCCCGCCAGCCAACTCCACACTCCTTTTGCATCATTGACACTGCGTGGGTGTGGGTGATGCTCTTGCCACCAACGGCCACCATGCCGCCGCTCTCCCGCTTTGCCGACAGGACACCACGTTCCGCTCTCATTTCAAGAGGCCCCGGCTCAAGGACTCACTCCCCATCCCCATGTATCCCTGTGGTATAACCCGCCTTGGGTGAGGAAGGCCGGGTAAACAATGAAGTAAACAGTAACAAACAATGGCCCACCACCTCTGCCCTGGAAGATGTGTTGGCTTGGACTATGAGGAGCCATTGAAGCTCCATCTCCATCGCCTCCTGACACAATCAACATTTTCCTTCTGTTGTTCATTGGATTGTACTCCTTGTATTATGGTGAGCGATTGAAGCTCTGGATGCCGTTCCATCTCTCTCATCAGTCAGGAAACGCCTCCTGAGATGGTCCACATTTCCCTGTGTTGTTTGTTGGCTTGTACTCTTTGTACCATGAGGAGTGATTGAAGCTCTGGGTGCCACTCCATCTCTTGCATCAGTTGGGAAACACCTCCTGAGATGGTCAACATTTTCCTTCTGTCATTCGTTGGATTGTACTCCTTGTATTATGGTGAGCGATTGAAGCTCTGGATGCTGTTCCATCTCTCGCATCAGTCAGGAAACGCCTCCTGAGATGGTCCACATTTCCCTGTGTTGTTCATTGGCTTGTACTCTTTGTACTATGAGGAGATTGAAGCTCTGGGTGCCGCTCCATCTCTCGCATCAGTCAGGAAACACCTCCTGAGATGGTCAATGTTCCTCTTCCCTCTGTGTCCACCAGCACAGACCCAAAACCTCACCGCTCACATTCATGCCTATGAGACTTGCCCACTAAGACGCCTTAGTAGGACAGTCTGGGCTATGGTTTGTTTACTTGTACTCCTTGTATTAGGATGAGCAGTTGAAACTCTGATGCCGCTCCATCTCTCGCATCAGCCAGGAAATGCTTCCCGAAATGGTCAATATTTTCCTTCCCTCTGTGTCCACCAACACTCACACTTATGCCTACAAGACCTACCCACAAAGACTTCATAGGAGGACAGCCTGGGCTATCGTTTGTTGGCTTGTACCCTTTGTATTGTTGTAAGTCCGAGGATGCTGTTGCGATGGATCTCCTTCTTAGCACCATTAAGGAACTGTCTCCTGATCCCCTCAGCTCCACGCTGTGACAGACAGTGGGAACACCAGTGGGGAGGCCCTGGTCAAGGTGTCCCTTTCCTCAGACTGGGCCAGACCCAGAAACCCACCGCTCACATGTATGCCTACGAGGCCTGACCGCTCAGTCTTCCTTGACGGACAGCCTGGGCTATCGTTTGTTGGCTTGTGCTCCTTGTATTCTTATAAGTCAGATCTCCTTGTCAGCATCATTAAGGAAGGGTCTTCTGACCCCCTCAGACAGAACGCCTGCAGGAAGGCACAGGGCAACTTTCCCCTCTCATTTCAGGAAGCCCGGGCTGCCGTCTCCACTAAGGCTCGTTGTCCCAGGCTCACAAACCCACTTTGCACAGCCACGCCGATGAGACTTGCCCACCAAGGCTTCACAAACATGTTTCTAGGACAGGCCTGGGCCAACTTTGGCCCCCTGAGTGTTTTGGACTCCAACTCCCACCATTCCTAACAGCCTCAGGCCCTTTCCTTTTCCTTAAGCGGCTGAGGGGGGAAAGAAAGGGGCCTGAGGCTGTTAGGAATGGTGGGAGTTGGAGTCCAAAACACTCAGGGGGTCCCAACTGACCCTTGCTGGATGGTTCCACTCCAGTCACGGTGCCAAACACTGAGTGCGAAGCCAATTTTGAGGAAAGGTTACATGTTCGATAAGCACACTCTTGAGTAGTTTAAACTGCAGTTCTCATTACACCAGGATTATTATTGTTTTGTTGAACAACACCATGGAAAACATTGGTTTTTTTTCTTTCTCCTTCCATAATATGAATATAAATGGAATTGTGAGTTTTCTTCTGCCTCTCCGAAGGTTACCAATGGGGATTACTCCAAATTTGATGTTGTTTCTGAACAAAGAGGGTAACAGACACGTACGGCCTGCATTGCAGTTGTTATTGTTATTGTTTTGCCTTTCTTTCTGCTGTAAACGGAGAGAGGAGTTCTTGCGTCTGTGCCATAGTTGGATGGTCCTGAGCCCTTCAGCAATCGCGTCTTGTGTCACTTTTGCTAATGTTGTATTTACCTTGATTGAAACCAGACCTGGGCAAACTCCCTCCCTCCAGGTGTTTTGGACTTCAATTCCCACAATCCCAAACAGCCTCCGGCCTTTTCCTATCGCCCCTCAGCCGCTTAAACAGGAAGGAGCCTGAGGCTGTGAGGAATGGTGGGAGTTCAAGTCCAAAACACCCGGAGGGCCAAAGTTTGCCCATGCCTGGTTTAAACCAACAGTACATTTCCTTTTAACTTAATTTGCAGTGCAGTCTGGCTAACATGAGTGGAATTAGATTAATTTCCAATCCCTGTGTCTGTATGTTCGTGCAACCGGCCATCCCGGATGATCAGCCCACTTTAATGGCACAGGTGCGGACTGACAGTTGAGTTTGCAAGAGCTTCAGATTGAAACCAATCCATGCTCGGAATGGATGGAAATGAAAGAAGAGCCCGTCTTAGTCAGATTCACTTTGATCAAAAAAAAGGATAGCACTCTTCAGTCTGTTACCACATATACATGTACAACTACATAGATTCTTCTGTGTGATACTTTAGAGCAGTGTTTCTCAAACTGTGCTCCTTTGGGTGTTTTTGCGCTTCAGCTCCCAGAAATTCCCAGCTGTTAGGAATTGTGGGAGCTGAAGTCCAAAACATTTGGGGGAGCCCAGTTTGAGAAACTATGTTTAGAGCAGTGATTCTCAACCTGTGGGTCCCCAAATGTTTTGGCCTTCATCTCCCAGAAATCAACTGATAATCTGGCTGGGATTTCTGGGAGTTGTAGGCCAAAACACCTGGGGAGGGACCCACAGGTTGAGAACCATGGATCTAGAGCTATATAGTGACCTCAGGAGGCCCTCAACGACCATCTAGAATAGTGGTTCTCAACCTGTGGGTCCCCAAATGTGTTGGCCCTCAACTTCCAGAAATCCTAACAACTGGTAAAATGGCTGGGATTTCTGGGAGTTGTAGTCCAAAACACCTGGAGAGGGACCCACAGGTTGAGAACCACTGGTTTAGAGCATTTGACAAGAGTCCATTCACATAAAAGCCTTCCTACCTACCGCTTTCATTTCTGCCCAACTTCTAAAAGAAGGCCAGGCTCTCTTCCACCAAGAAGAAGGGAAAATGGAAACAATTTCTCCGCTCCTTCTGTTTAAACTAAAAACCAGACTTGTATAAAGGACAATTGGCTCATCTGGTTTGATGGACTTCCTGCATTTCAAGGGTATCTCCAGCTGGATCTATTGTGACTCGCTGGAATTGGCTCGTGTCCGGATGACATTCTTTCCAGTTCATTCTGATTTTGGTTAAAGTGTTGTTGTTTTTCCATGCAATATCTTTAAAAACCCACAAGCATGTATTGCTTGTCTCTGTTGTACAATGAAGAAGAGATGACTTTGTGCAAATTAAAATGCAAGGTAAAGCACCGTGTGGAATCCTCCACAGGTCTTACGTGGCCCGTGTTCTTCTTTACCATGTACAGATGAGAAGACCTGTCGGCCTCTTTCCGTAGCCCGGAGCTCGTGTCATTAGCCATGCCGTTCGTTGGGAAACGTAGCAGCAGAATGTACATCCTAATTGTGTTGGATTTTGTGGATGCCCTGCAGTAGGTATTGGGGAACCGATCTGTTCTCTGAACAAGATAGTAGACTGTATCCAGTTATTTGAGTAGAATTTGCAAGCGTCTTGTCCATTGTATACTTTTATTTTTGGAATTAATCTCTAACTTCTTTCCTGCTTGCTGTCTTGTGCTTCTTAGATAGGGAAGGGAGGTGTAGGCGCCCTGGCTTCAGAGCGTGCCCTGAGGTCGCCTTTGGTCACACGGTTTTCGGTTCGCTCCGTGTGCGCCGGTTGAAACCTCAGAGAGCACGCCGGCTTTCTGACATTGTAAATAAGACTGCATTCTACTTGGATGAAAATGTTTCAAAGATGTGTGTCGTGACACTTGTGGTACTTTTCTACCATCATTATGCACTAAAATGTGTTCAGTTGATTCAATTGCAGGACTGGTTGTTTGCTGGACTGTTCAATTCTTGCTGGTTATCCTGAGGTGCTAACAAACAATGCTTCATTTGAATAAAGTCTATTTTGTTTTGTTATGCAACAGTATGGCGTTTCTCCATGATGAATAACAAATCTTTGTATAGCATTTCTTCCTCCTTGACAATCTATTTCAGCGTTTCTCAACCTGAGGGTCGGGACCCCGGGGGGGGGGGGGGGGGCGTGAGAGGAGGTGTCGAAGGGGTTGCCAAGGACCATCAGAAAACATAGTATTTTCTCTTGGTCATGGGGGTTCTGTGGAGGAGGTCTGGCCCAATTCTATCGTTGGTGGGGCTCAGAGTGCTCTTTGATTGTAGACTAACTATAAATCCCAGCAAATGTCAAGGTCTGTATTCCCCAAACTCCACCAGCGTTCATATTTGGGGATATTTAGTATTCTTGCCAAGTTTGGTCCAGAGCCATCATTGTTTGAGTCCACAGTGCTCTCTGGATGTAGGTGAACTACAACTCCAAAACTCAAGGTCAGTGCCCACCAAACCCTCCCAGTATTTTCTGTTAGTCTTGGGAGTTCTGTGTGCCAAGTTTGGCCCAATTCTATCATTGGTGGGGTTCTGCGATTGTAGGTGAACTACGATGCTCTGCGATTGTAGGTGAACTATAAATCCCAGCAAATACAACACCCCAATGTCAAAGTTTGTATTCCCCAAACTCCACCAGCGTTCATATTTGGGGATATTGAGTATTCGTGTCAATTTTGGTCCAGATCCATCATTATTTTGAGTCCACAATGTTCTCTGGATGTACATGAACTACAACTCCAAAAGTCAAGGTCAATGCCCACCAAAACCTTCCAGTATTTTCTGTTGGTCATGGGTGTTTTTGTCCAATGTTTCAATTGTTTAAAAGCAATGCTTTTGGGTTTGGAAAGATTCGCTGTTTACAAGAAACGTTGCCCGGGGGACACCCGACTGTATTTATTCAGTCTTCGAGGAGACTCTTTCCGTGTCCCACTGCCGCCTGCGCTCCTTCGATTTTTATCAGTTTTATACTAATTCATGCAATGCTCTTGATACAAAATAAAAATGGGTGTTCTGTGTGCCAAGTTTGGTTCAGTTTCATTGTTGGTGGAGTTCAGAACACTCTTTGATTATAGGTGAACTATAAATCCCAACAGCCACAACTTCCAAATGACAAAATCACCCCCAACCCCCCCTCCCCCCCAAGTATTCAAATTTGGGTGAACTGGGTATTTGTGCCAAATTTGGTCCAGTGAATGGCAATTCATCCTGCATATCAGATATTTACATTATGATTCATAACAGGAGCAAAAAGAGTTATGAAGTAGCAACGGAAGTAATGTTATGGTTGGGGGTCATCACAACATGAGGAACTGTATGAAGGGGTCTCCAGCAAAGGATCGCTGCCTTGTTGTAGCGCTGGAGCTTGAGCACCTCAATGATGCCACGAGCGAAATGGTGAAGGGCCAGGACGGTCGTGGCAGAGAGGTCAGACCAAGCGCGATCCCTGGGGAAGGCAATGGCAAACCACCCCAGGATTCTTGCCAAGAAGACTAAATGGATCAGTACAACCAGAGAGATGTGGGTATGCCATTGGAAGATGGGACTCCCAGGTCGGAAGATGGTCAAAATGCTGCTGGGGAGGAGCAGAGGATAAGTCCAACTAGCCCCAGACGTGATGACGCAGCTAGCTCAAAGCCGAAAGGAAGGCTAGCGGCCAATGGTGCTGGAGGGGAAGTGACTGGCTTGACTCTGAAGGAGCTGGGAGAGGTGATGGCTGACAGGGCGCTCTGGCGTGGGATGGTCCGTGAGGTCACCAAGAGTCGGAAGCGACTGAATGAATGAACAACAAATGCAGGGGTCGCGACATTAGTAAGGTTGAGAAGGGCTGTTCAACGGTGGAACTCTCTGCCTCGGAGTCCAGTCAAAGCTCCTCCTTTTGTTAAGGGGTCACGGCATGAGGAAGGTGGAGAGGCGCTGTCCTAGGTGGAATCTCTTGTCTCTGGCTCCCTTGCGGCCGAGTCTTCAGAGCTGTAGAAAGCCAGCTTGCCTTCTCCTCCTCCTCTTCCTCCTCAACGTGACTTCCTGAAGCAGGCCTGAGGGGGAAAAGGAAAGGCTTTCCTGAGGCTGTGAGGAATGATGGGAGTCGGAGTCCAAAACACCTGGGAGGAGGGAGGGAGGGAGGGAGGGAGGGCCCAAGTTGGCCCAGGCCTCATGTAGAGGAAGCTTCCTTGTATTCCGCCCAGGCAACACAGCCTAACGTTGGTTATGGGCCCCTCAGCACTCGGCTTTAGTGGCTGAGGGGGAAAAGGGAGGGGCCTAATGGGGCTGAGAGGAATGCTGGGAGTTGGAGTCCAAACACCTAAAGGGAGGGAGGGAGGGAGGGAGGGAGGGAGGGAGGGGCCAAGTGTGCCCATGCCTGGCTTCCCTCCCTTAAGCGGCTGAGGGGGGAAAGGAGGGGGCCTGCTGGGGCAGCGAGGCATGCCGGGAGTTGTAGTCCGAAAGGGCGGAGGGAGGCGCAGGCGTGCTCTGAGGSGAAAGGCGGGGTCCCGAACGCATCCCAGAGTGCCTTGCGGCARCTGTAGCCGAGCTCCGTTTCCCCGGAAGGAAGTCGGCGTGCGCGCATGTGCGGCGGGCGAGGGGCGTGGCCGGAAGAGGCGGGCCGGGCGGGGAGCCCTCGGAAGGTTTGTCCCGCGCTCTCTCTCTCTCTCGCTCGGTGCCTTCGCCGCCGCCGCCGCGCCCGCCGCCATTCGCCGGGTTGGAGCTGACAGGTGAGGAGGGGGCGGGCGGGCGGGCGGGCGGCCCCAGGTCCCCCCTCTCCCTCTCTCGCAGGCCTTCCCTCCTTCTTCCTGAGGGGAAGGGCGTGCCTCGCTCGGGGCCTAGCAGCAGGCCCTCTCAGGGGGGCCCCTCCCTCCCTCCCTCCCTCCCTCCCTCCCTCTCTTCGGGCCTTCCCCAAGGTTCCCCTTCTCCCCTCGGTGCCTGGGGCCATTCGGGGACAGTTGGCTTTAATTCAGGGAAGAGAGCCCACAGGGGCCACCCAGCCCAGCCCCAGCGCCATCCCCTCACCCCTCACAGGAGGCCACACTCCCCACGACACTCCCAGGCAGAGAGTTCCACCGATGAACAGCTCTCCTTACCGCCAGGAAGTTCGGCCCAGAGTTACTATTATTATTATTATTATTATTAACTTTCTTTGTACCCCACTAACATCTCCCAAAGTACTCGATGCGGCTTACAAAAGGCCAAGGCCCTCAATAAAACAACAGCATAACAAATACAACAATAACACTCAAAAAGCAAAACCATAAACATAAAAAACAATAACACCGTGATGCATTTAAAACTAGGCCGGGCCAATGGAATGAATAAAATTTAAAAGTGCTGGACATGACAGGTGAAATTGATAGGTTTTTAGAGGTAGGTGCGGTGTGCAGACAGTCTTAAATCTCTAGTAAAGTGCATTTGGGACATGATGCTGGGAGTTTCCTATTTATTCTGGGAAGGCACACTGGAACAGCCACGTCTTCAAGCTCTTCCTAAAGACTGCCAACGTTGGGGATTGTCTGTTGTCCTTGGGGAGAGAGTTCCAGAGTCCGGGGACCACCACAGAGAAGGCCCTGTCCCTCATTCTCACCAAGCATGCTTGCAACACAGGTGGGATCATGAGCAGGGCCTCTCCAGATGATCGAAGGGAACATGTGGGTTCATATATGGAGATGCGGTCACGCAGGTAGGCGGGTCCCAAACCGTTTAGGGCTTTGTAGGTAAGCTGGAACCTCTTTTCCTGTCATTTCAACCCATTGTTCCAATTTATTTATTCTTTGTTTACATCATTTCTTCCCCACCCGTATCAGCCCGAAGGCAACTCAGGGCGGCAAACAGTCGGCACAATTCGATGCCATAGATAAAATACATACATCGATAACAATAAAACATCACATTGCAATGTATCTAAACACATCAAAACAGTAAACAATGAAAATTTTAACATTATGTCATCATGTTCAGTCCTCGTCGGTTCTGTCGTCTTAGCCGTTCCTCAGTCGTTTTCCAATTCAGGTTTATCTGATTAAGATGAAGCTCCAAAAGCTTGCTTGAAGAGCCAAGTTTTCAGGGATTTTTTTTAAAGGTCTGGAGGGAGGGGGCTGATCTGATACCCCTGGGCAGGGAGTTCCACAGCCAAGGGGCCACCACAGAGAAGGCCCTGTCTCTCGTCCCCGCCAGACGTGCGTGTGAGGAAGGTGGGATCGAGAGCAGGGCCTCCTCTTACAATCTCAAGTCCCTGGTGGGTTCATACGGAGAGAGGCTTTCGGATAGAGAAGTCGCAGTTCCTTTCCACACAGCCTTATGGATCCCAGAATAGCAAGGCAGAAAATCCCACCATATCTGCTTGGAACTGGGTCATCTGAGTCCACACTCTGATCATGTGGGATTTCCTGCCTTCATATTTTGGGATCGATAGGGCAGTGTGGAAGGGATATAGGGCCCCTGGTTTCCCTTAGTATTCTGGGATATAGGGAGGGCCCCTGGAGACATGATGATAGCCATGTATAAGTATGTGAGGGGAAGCCACAGGGAGGAGGGAGCAAGCTGGTTTTCTGCTTCCCTGGAGACTAGGACGCAATGGAACAATGGCTTCAAACGACAAGAGAGGAGATTCCATCTGAACATGAGGAAGAACTTCCTGACTGTGAGAGCCGTTCAGCAGTGGAACTCTCTGCCCTGGAGCGTGGTGGAGGCTCCTTCTTTGGAAGCTTTTAAACAGGGGCTGGATGGCCATCTGTCAGGGGTGCTTTGAATGCAATATTCCTGCTTCTTGGCAGAATGGGGTTGGACTGGATTCTGGCCCAGGAGGTCTCTTCCAACTCTGATTCTAAGCCGTCTCCCTCTTCCTTATGACACCCTTCCACATATTTATACACGGCTCTCATGTCTCCTCTCAACCTTCTCTTCTGCAGGGTAAACATAACACACTCCTCATAGGGATTAATGGTCCCCGGACCTCAATAATAATAATTAATAATAATCATCATCTTTATTTATGTCCTGCCAGTATCTCCCAAATGGGATTCGGCATGGCTTAAATGACACACCAAGTGCAGTATATAACATAAAACGACACATGAGTATAAAACAATATCACATAAAAATGATAAAAACAGCCACTATCAACACATAAAGTAAAATACAATGACACAATTTAAGAACGTAGAACATCTGTAGTTAAAACTAGCTGCCATCAAACTTTGTGACTGCATCCCCCCAATGCGAGCGTTAAGATCTGCTAGGGAGGCCCTCCTCGCAGTCCCGCCACTGTTACAAGTGCATTGGGGATGAGAGAGAGAGGCTTCTTGGTGGTGGCCCCCCAGCTCACCCTGCTCCCCGATTCAAACCGTCAACCTTTTGGTCAGCAGTCCTGCCAGCACAAAGGTTGAGCCCATTGCACCACCGGGGCCTCCTTTCAAGTTGACTAGATGACAGAAAAGACACGATCTACCAAAAGTCTGTGGGTTCTCCGGTTCCATTATGTACAGCAATGTAATAAAATTGTGTCCCTGGACATGGAGACTAGGACACGGAGCGATAGATTAAAATTGCAAGGAAACCTAAATGCTAGGAATGCGTTCCTGACAATAAGAGCTGTTCAGCAGTGGAATAAGTCTCCTTCTCTGGAGGTTTTTAAGCAGAAGCTGGATGGCCATCTGTCGGGAACACTTTGATTAATTTGCCTGCAAGGCAGGGAGGGTTAGACGGGATGGCCTTTGGGGTCCCTTCCAGCTCTGATTCTATGAATGTGAATTGGGAAACAATGGAGGGGGGAATCTGATTGCATGATGCATCCATGTCTCAGTGTTGTTCCTCTAGGGCAGTGAATTAGAATTTGTGAAGTGCTTTCCCTTATTTATATCTTGATGAAGAGGGATTATGTCTGTCAATAGTACCATTCCTGATCTTAACTTTGAAACATTTTCAAAACTGGATCTCTTCCTACTTGTTCTTGAAAACAATGCTTTTGGCAAATTGAAGACTATCAGAGGGCGGCTTTCTGCTCAAAACATAAAGAAAAACGATCCTTTTAGGAGGGCCATACTCACCGTGTGAAGCATCTTGTACACAATGTTCTTCCCTTCGCCTTGGTGCTTTTTCTATTTTACCCACTGTTTTCATGAGGAGTGGATTTGTATAGGCTCACAGATTTTTGAGTGGGCCGGCCTCCAAGGTAGGACCCCCTGTTAGTTAGAATAACGTTGGTGGCCACTTCAGGCTAATTAGATGCAAGTACACCAACATTACTCATTTTATTTTGAGCCCTGTGGTGAAAGTGCAAGTGCACTTCGGAGTCTTTAATAACATACTTTGAAAACAACCTTTAAAGTTGAAAAATTATTGGTTGCAATTATACTTGTTTATGTGGATGATGTGAAACTTTCCAGCGAAAAGGTGTGCTTCCTGTTAGGAAATCTACCTTGACTGACCCTATCTTGGAGGGGAGCAACAAAAACCGTCATTGAAAAACACTCTGTCTAGAAATGGTAGCTGCTCAGCCCCTTCCACACACATTATCTGCTTTGGACTGGAATATATGGCTGTGTGGACTCAGATAACCCAGTTCAAAGCAGATGTTCTGGAATTTTCTGCCTTGATAATCTGGGATATATGGCTGTGTGGAAGCCCCGCCCCCCCCCCCCCCCCCCCCCCCCCCCCCGTACATTAAAAATTGTATTACATTAATTTATTTAATTATTTAGCAGTCTTCTCACCTCCGTTTGAGGGACTCAGGCTGGTTTCCAATATCAATATTACAGACAGTCATTAAAACATCATATTCTAAATCACACTAAAACATTAAAATAGCAAAATACAATCATATTAAGGTAAAGGTTTCCTCTTGTCATGAAATCTAGTTGAGTCCGACTGGGGGGTGTTGCTCATCTCCATTTCTAAGCGGAAGAGCCAGCGTTGTCCATAGACACCTCCGTTACCTTCCCGTCAAAGCAGTACCTACTCACATTTGCATGTTTTCGAACTGCTAGGTTGGCAGAAACTGGGGCTAACAGCGGGAGCTCACTCTGCTCCCTGAAAAGCAGTTTATGAGAGTTAATATTTTGATTGAATATATGGATTGTAATAAAATTACTTCTGCCCTCCTTTCTATTCATGTGGAAAGATGTTCTGGGTTAGTATTATGATATATCTGTATGGCATTTATTGGTGGGTATATATACACTCTTTAAAAATGCCATCTTTAGGGCAATGGTTTCCGACTTTTGGTCCTCCAGGTGTTTTGGACTTCAGTTCCCACAATTCCTAACAGCTTGTCAGGAGTGACTTGAAAAACCGAAAGTCGTTTCTGGTGTGAGAGAATTGGCTGTCTGTAAGGATGTTGCCCTGGGGATGGCTGGATGTTTCACCATCCTGTGGGAGGCTTCTCTTATGTCCCCACATTAGAAGTTGGAGCTGACAGACGGGAGCTCACCCCTCTCCCTGGATTCGAACCACTGACCTCTTGTTCAGCGGTCCTGCTGGCACAAGGGTTTAAACTGGGGGCTCCTGGATTTATTATTAGGCAGAGATGATATTAAAGTTAGAAATGAATATCTGCTAGGGTGTTAGTACCAGGTACCATAGGCTGTGTTTCAGAAAATGGAAATCGATCACTGAGTAATTCTTGCCCATAAACACTCAGTGAAATTCATGGGGTTGCTGTAGGCGACTTGAAGGCAAGCACACATACACGGGAAGGGGAAAAATTCAGGTGCCTGATTATGTAGCTGTTAAAAAATTCATACAAACGTTCTAAAAACTAAGCTGAAATGGAGTTCTGCTGCGTGTAGCGTGTCAAATGACAGTCCCATTCAAAATCCACAAACTTCTCTGAACTGGCTGTGTTTCCATGGTCACATTAATCCCTGATTAACATGGACATGCAAGTCAAGCTGAGTGTCGTTGCTTTTGCAGAACATGGGGCTGATGATCTCTCTGCTTTGAGCTTTCCCTCATCAGCATCCTGTTCCTTTTTGCCCAGTTGCTTCCAGAACGATTCACCACCGATCCTTTTCTCAGGTAGCAATCCTGGGGCGTTTTCTTGTACATCCCTATGGCTACTAAATGGGGTCAACGCTGGTTAACATTTGGGTGAGATCCCAACAGCAAGAACAACACCCTTCTCATGTTATGCCTTTACATGTGATTTCTCCCTTGTCCAATTTGATCGGTGGGTGAATATGACATTGCATAATCTCCCAGTAATGCTGCTGTCTTGGGAATCATTCCATTGTACTCTCTGACTTGAAGAATGATGGCAAAGGAGGGGGGGGAGGAATACATGCAACAGATATGTAGCCCATCTCTGTGCCGCACGCACTAGTCCTCCTTTGTCATTCACACTGCCTCTTTATGGCTTTGCTTTCCCATTCCCTCTGTTATTGCCACTTTTCTTCTAAAGCTTCCAAGCAGTCTTCAAAGGCAACCCCACGTAGAGTGCGTTGCAGTAGTCTATCCTAGATGTAACGAGAGCGTGGACCACCGTGGCCAAGTCTGACTTCCGTACCTTGGGAAGTCAGACTTGGCCACAGTGGTCCACGTTCATGTTACATCTAGGATAGACTACTGCAATGTACTCRAAGTGGGGTTGCCTTTGAAGACTGCTCYGAAGCTTCAAATAGTRGAACAAGAGGCAGCCAGGTTTATAWTTATTTTTATTTATTTGGAGTGCTTCTACCCCACCCTTCTCAACCCCCTYGGGGGGACTCAGGGCGGCTTACAAAAGGCAAATWACTGGGGCGGCATACAGGGAGAACACAACTCCCATGTTACGCCAGCTCCACTGGCTGCCAGTTTGCTACCGGGCACCATTCAAAGTGCTGGCTTTGGCCTATCAAGCCCTAAACGGCCCCGGCCCAAATTACCTGTTCGAACGCATCTCTCCCTATGAACCATTGCAGAGATTAAGATCCTCCGGGGAGGCCCTGCTTTTCGTCCCGCCATTGTCACAGGCGCGATTGGTGGGGACGAGAGACAGGGCCTTCTCGGTTATTGCTCCCCGGCTATGGAACTCCCTTCCTGGTGAGATCAGGTCGGCCTCCTCCCTCCTGTCCTTCAGAAGGATGGTCAAAACTTGGCTGTGGGACCAAGCTTTTGGGACAGGGCAATAAAGCGGCAATAAGAAAGATTACCAGGCCAATTAGATTTGATGCTGATGACTACGACGATTTTAAATGGTGTATTTTAATATATTTGACAAATGTTTTTATGTTTATGTGTGTATATAAGAATTTGTGTCCCGGCATTGAATGTTTGCCGTGTATATGCTGTGCTCCGCCCTGAGTCCCCTGAGTCGGGGTGAGAAGAAGGGCGGAATAGAAAGGTTTTAAATAAATAAATAATATAGAAAAGACAAGGGACCGTGCCTCATGGAAAGTATTGGGAAGGGGACCATATCATAGTTGTAGGGGACTTGCTTTGCATGCAGGGAAGCATCAGATTCAGACCATGGCATTTTTGAGCACTGCAGTTGCAAAAGAGCTCTGCTGGGTATGCTGGGAAACAAAACAATCTTTGACTAGGGACCATATCAGATTAGAGAATGAATCCACTTTAAATCCTGTTGCTGCCTTTTGCAGAATTCTGGGATTTGTAGTTTAGGGAGGAGCCTTTAACAGTCTTGCTAAACTACAAACCCCAGAATTCTGTAGAAGGCAGAAACTGGATTTAAAGTGGATTCATCCTCTAGTGTGATGACCTGGTAGGTGAACAAGCAGGTAAATAAAGAAAAGACTCCCGTGTCTTCCTGAATTGGAGAGATGTCCCGCACTCTTGGAGCGCCCGTATGCTCTTTGAGCGTCCATATGCATTGATAGATACAGAGAAGGCCGGGAGATTTCTCGCTGCTGTCTACAAAAGACATCATCAACCTTTGCTGGTAGGAAGAAGAGGTTCGCTCCAATTTTGTTGTGCCTTGAACTTAACCTAGGTCCAGGTGAGCCTAGTTCTTTAATACAGTTGAATCATTTGGGATTTCCTCCTTTCTATTCAGTCGAATACAGCTACAGATTTTGAACTTTAAATCTGGTTTCTGGATATTGGCCAAAATGCTAAAGAGAGACCCTTCTCACAGTGTGTATACCAGTTGCAGCACATGAGCATCCGTGCAGAAGTGCAAATAGCAGGAAGTTCTCTGCAGAGGCCATGGTTACATCCAAGGGGAGACAAAGTTGAAAAATGGGGAAGTTTCTGGGGAAAGATCGATGAGGTCTGTCTCATTTCAGTGCTCTCTCTTGTACTTTCACTGGCAGGCTCCAGCTGAGGATTCAGGATGGGAGACAAGCCTATTTGGGAACAGATCGGTTCCAGCTTTGTACAGCATTACTACCAGTTATTTGATACAGACAGAACTCAATTAGGAGCAATATACGTAAGTAGCCACTCGAACGGGATTCTTTACTTCTTTTTAGGTATTTCTTGCTTATATCTCACTTGTCCCCCGTCCTCCAATTCTGTATATTTCCTTAAAATATCTGGGAATGGAGGACCCTTCCTCGCAGCAACAACTGCTGCTCTGGGCCAGAGTGAAGACCGGGGAGGCCAGGGGACAGTCACACCTTGTCTCCTGTGCTATGCTAATCTATAATATAATGTAAAATATTGTATATAGATATAATATTTATAATACAGGGTGTGGCAGCATAACTTCCTTTTTAAAAATGCGCGCCATTGAGTCAGTTGAAGACGTAGCGGAGCGCTCATGGTCTCATTAGAGAGGCAGGAGTATCAAGTTTTGTCCTAACACAGTTTTATTTATTTATTTTATTTATTTTATTTATTTATTATTACACTTGTATACCGCTAATATCTCAGCCTAAGTCGGCGACTCATTGCGGTTTACAACAGTTAAAAAACAATATTCAATTTAAAAACATAGAACACATATACAATACAAATTATTGGGCCACCAATAATAATTCCATGCATCTCGTAACTCAAATCCCAATCCAAAATTCGTCGTCCATGATTACCAGTCCTTTAGTCATCAACATTCGATTGCAACGGATTAACCGAATGCTTGTTTAAACAACCATGTTTTCAATCTCTTCCGAAACACCATCAGCGAGGAGGCTGATCGTACCTCTATAGGGAGGGTGTTCCAAAGCCGAGGGGCCACCACAGAAAAGGCCCTGTCTCTCGTTCCCGCCAGCCGCACTTGTGAAGCAGGCGGGATAGAGAGCAGGGCCCCCAGAAGATCTTAGGGTCCTGGTGGGCTGATAGGCCGAGATGCGTTCGGATAGGTAAGTTGGGCCAGAACCGTTTAGGGCTTTAAAGGCCAATGCCAGCACCTTGAATTGGGCCCGGTAGCAGATCGGCAGCCAGTGGAGCTGGTACAGCAGAGGAGTTGTATGCTCCCTGCGCCCCGCTCCTGTTAGTATCATGGCTGCCGCACGTTGGACTAATTGGAGCTTCCGGGCTGTCTTTATTTATTTATTTGTTTATTATTCGGACTTCTATGTGGCCACTCCCCTGGGGCTCGGAGCGGCTTACAAGAACAGGCTAAAATCTAACACCATTTAAAAACAATTTAAAACAATTTAAAAACAACAATATCAGAGATCAAAGTCCCGTCGAAACAGATGTGTCTTACATGCCCTGCGGAAAGCTGATAAAGTTTTATCCTGACACAGTTCAGTCGCCATCATGCGTTGGAACAGTGAGGAGCGTGCTTTTGCCGTTGAGGCCTACTTTTCGAGTGGATTTGGAGTGGCCGGCCCGCTCTCCATTCATACAATGGATTTTATTAAGTTTTGAAAAAAGGAAGTTATGCTGCCTCACCCTGTATTATAATGTAATACAGTATAATACTGAGAATAATAATATGATATTACAATTATATATTTTATATTACATGTAATATTACTAATAATATTACAATATAATTATATAGTACAATATAGTGATGTATAGCGCTGATATTGTACTGTGCTAATGGTATAATGTATTGTATGCATGTGTGTGTGTGTATATGTATATGTGTGTGTGTGTATATATATATGTATATATATATATATATATAGATATAGATATATAGATATAGATATATATATATCTTGTAAGCCGCTCTGAGTGCCCTTTGGGGTGAGAAGGGCGGCATATAAATGTCGCAAATAAATAAATACCTGTCATTTTATTGTGAGCTTGAGAAGTTGAATTACATTTACCGTTACGTCACCAAAGCTTTTGCAGTTGTGTTAGTGCTATTTACTCCCATTGGAGTATCTCCTCCGGATCCAAGAGACCACAAACTGGTGATCTCCGCAGGTGGTGGTTTCCCCCTCGGGTGCTTACCAAGGGTAATGCCAGTACTTTGCCACCTTGCAGAGGCTCCCCAGGATTTACGTAGTTCTGTAGTTTATAGCAACATCTGAGTCTTAAATTACCATTGTTTAAGAAGAGTGAAGTGGATGTAAAGATTTCTTGAGTCTTATCTGTATTGAGAAGTCAGTACAGAGGTCTGTCATTTGGTTGGCGGAGAAGAATGTGTTTGACCTAAAGCCACCAATAACGTAGGCACATTGCTGTACATCTTTATCGTATCAGAAGCGAAACGAGGGTACAGTTGTAATGTATTTTAAAACACAAACAAAGTTAAAAACTTGGCATTATGCTAAATGTCCTGTGACCAGTAACTGGCCACTTGAAGTGCCTGTGGTGTTGCTATAAGGAGGTCCTCCCTTGTGCATGTGGCGGAGCTCAGGCTGCATTGCAGCAGGTGATCTCTGGTTTGCTCTTCTCCGCACTCACATGTCGTGAACTCCACTTTGTGGCTCTGCATCTCATGGTGCCAGAGCACAGTCTGTTTAGTGCCTTCCAAGTCTTCTGTGTGCCCAGGGGGAGTCTCTCATTCGGTATCAACCATGGCTTGAGGTTCTGGGTTTGAGCCGGCCACTTTTGGACTCACAGCATTCTGGAGTAAGGAGCCGCCAGCCTGAGTGGTTGGGGTCTGTCTCTTGAGGCATGTTTCCTGGCGTCTGCCTGAGTTGGCTGACTTGGTTCTTAAGTAACAGTTGCTGCTTAATCATGGCTTGTATAAAGCCATTACATTTTGAATGGGAGATCAGGAATGGTTTGTACAAAGCAAAATCTTTCAGCCAGACCGTGACTGGATTTTCCTACTGATATTATTTCAGATAGATGCCTCATGCCTTACGTGGGAAGGACAACAATTTCAGGGCAAAGCAGCTATTGTTGAAAAACTCTCCGTAAGTATTTCCACTAGCAGTACGATAGATTTTTATTCAATATGAAATTTGAAAGATTTGCTTCTCTGGGCAAGATAGGCTCTCGCTTTACATCTGATGTCGTATTTGTTGGGCGACTGGGCTTATTAACAAAATACCCTCAGCAGAGTAACTTATTAGCAGCAGTGTGACCCAGCACCAGAAGCTCAAAGTGATAAAAATAACAAAAACCCATGTTATATCTTCCATAGGAGACTTTTCTTTGTAGTAACACAATATGGTTGCACTATTTACAAGAACAAGGTTTCCATAACACAAATAAAGTTCTTTATACTTCCTTCTTTGCTTCCACTTTGGGCTTCTTTCTCATGCAGATAAACAGCTTCACTCTCACACTGACGGGACGCAGGAGCGTCACACATTAGCTTTTTACACAGGAGCTTAGCTCCACACACAATGGCCTTAACCTGGGGCTTCTCTCACAGAGGCTTCTCACACCAGACCTTTTCACACTGAGGCCTCTCGGAATGAGGCGAACTAATACTGAGGCCTTCTCATACCGAGTCCTACTAACACATTGAGGCCCTTCTCTCACAGACTGAAGGCTGCCAAGCGACAGGCACACCTGCTTATATTGAACTGCAGCTGTTGCTGACTCGTTGTATCCATTTAACCCTTTCAGTGCTTGACTCACATTTTTGTATTTAAAAATACCTAGTTATTTTTTAATATTTCTGACAGTATTCATTGGACATTCCCCGTGCAGGACAGTTGTCACTTCCTCCGTGCTGGTTTCAATACTGTTGTTTATCTGTAAAATGTCATTAACTTCTATAGCATCCCATTTAAGCAATACCTAGCCCTTGCTTGCACGACAACACCTTAATCCCGAGGTTTTAATAAAAGCACACCTTTGGGTCATTGAATCCCGTGTCTCTTTGTCTTGAACTTTGTCAATCAGATACACATTTTTTCAGGTGCAGAACTGAAATTGTATGAGAGTGAGTTAAAGAGTTTCTTGTTTCCATTGCAGAGCCTTCCCTTTCAGAAAATACAACACAGTATCACAGCGGAAGACCATCAACCCACACCTGACAGCTGTATACTCAGTATGGTAGTAGGGCAGCTTAAGGTATGTGCTATTTCCAACCCTGAACCCTATGAAATGGTGTTTGAGAGCTCTGTTACGGCCTATTTCAGGTATAAACCGGAGCCTGTTTGCCACAGATAGGACTTGGGCTTACACTATTTGATAAATTACTCCATCTCGGTAGAGAAAGTATGAGTACCCTGAGAGAAATGGGGGTAAAAGCTTGTAGGAAAGCTGTTGCTTAGCAGGTTAAACTGCTGAGCTGCTGAACTTACAGACCAAAAGGTTGTTGATTTGAATCGGGGGGGGGGGGGGGGGGGGGGGATGATCTCCCATTGTTCGGCCCAGCTTTTGCTAACCTAGCAGTTTGAAAACATGCAAATGTGAGTAGATCAATAGGTTCCGCTTCTGCAGGAAGGTAACAGCGCTCCATGCGGTCATGCCGGCCAAATGACCTTGGAGATGTCTGTGGACAATGTCGGCTCTTTGGCTTAGGAATTGAGATGAGCACCAGAGTCCCAGAACCAGACACGACTGGACTTCATGTCAGGGGAAGCCTTTACCTTTAGCTCTGTAGAGTCGAGAGGAGTATTGCAGTTCACCTAGGAAGAATGAGGAGGAATTAGGAATGAGAAGCATTGTGCAAAAACATCCTTAGGAGACAGAGTTCTTTGTAGGTCTGTAAGTGGGCACTTTCAAATAGCAAGGCACATCTGTTGTACAGGTCCATTGATTTTGGGAAAACTCAGCTCTGCCTCTAAACAATTTATTTATTTATTTATTTACATCACTTATATCCCGCCCATATCAGCCCGCAGGCGACTCAGGGCGGTCTACATATCGGCACAATCCGATGCCATCAATACAATACAAAAGCAAAAACAGTTAAGTGCAATTATACAAAAAAGGCAGTGCAATGACAATTTAAAAAGAGCTCTATCCTCTCATTCCAATCCTCGTCCATTTCATCGTCTTGGCCGTTCCTGGGTCATTCTCCATCTCAAGCTTGACTATCTATTCCGGGGTTCCGAATGCCTGCTTGAAGAGCCAGGTTTTCACTCTCTTACGAAAGGTCAGGAGGGAGGGGGCTGATCTAATATCCCTAATAAACAATCTCAATGCTCCTTCTGTCACTGAGATATACTGCAGCCTTCTCCTCATTTGGCCTCTTGTTTATTTATTTATTTATTTATTTGGTAGTTTTGTATACCGGTCTTCTCACCTCCATTCGAGGGACTCGGGCCGGTTTCCAACATTAATATTACAGACCGTCGTTATTGCTCGTGGCAGCTTCTGGTCTCAGAGAGAAAACCAGCAGAATTATTATTATTATTATTATTATTAGACTAGTACGTAACAGAATAAATTCCCTTTCCCCTTGTCACATTGCTTCTTGTGTACGTGTCCACCAATAGTTTGAGTGTCAGCGTGGCACATTCTGGGTACACACAGTCATAAACCCCAAGCGCAACAGGCCGCCTGTGTTGCCAGAACCTGTCCCTTTAATGGTTTCTCTCCTCTTCTGCTCAGGCAGATGATGACCAAGTTCTAGGTTTCCATCAGACCTTTTTGTTGAAAAGCTTGCAAGGTGCCTGGGTGTGCACCAATGAAGTCTTCAGGCTAGCGCTCCACAACCTTTAGCCTCTGGCCTCCTCCTCCTCCCCCCTCTGAACTCCTCACTGAGTAAGAAGCCTCCTGCTTGCTCCCGTCTCCCAGTTGGCCCTGAAGCCTGACTCGCATGGCCGTTGCTTGTGTGTGATCAACGCAGAATGAACACTTGGCTTGCCCTAGAATGGCGGCTTCTGAATAAGGAAAGGTGTGGGTTCCTGGAAGGCGTTAGAAAGCAAATCCTGCAGAATTAATAAAGCATAGCTGGATTGTTTTATGCCAGTTGGTTGCCTGCTTAACATATCCCAGATCTTGGAGACCTGGGACATACATGTGGCATGCAGTGAATGCCTGCCTCTCTGTGGCTGGAAATCTCTGTCTTTGCTCAAGCCTGTTGGTGTATTTGCAGAGCAAGGTAAGAATCCACAGACAAAGGCAGGTTGCTTTCTAAAGCACCAGATGGCCCAGGAGTAATAATAAAAAGTCCGGACTCTGCTCCAAAATACCTGAATTACAGCAGTACTTTGGAGATGGGAAAGCGAACGAAGCATCAGAGCTGCAAATATACAAGCTTTACTTAAAGATGGAAATTAAAGGTCTAACCCAGGCACGGGCAAACTTGGGCCCTCCCTCCCTCCCTCCCTCCAGGTGTTTTGGACTTCAACTCCCAGAATTCCTAACAGCCTCAGGCCCCTTCCTTTCCCCCCTCAGCCGCTCAAGCCACTCCTGACACGAAAGAAAAGCCATATGAAACAAAATTGATAAGTTCCCTCTTGTCTTTTCCAGAGTTTACGTGGTGGCCTAACAGCAGATGTATTGAATTGTTATCCATCTTTTGTAATTATGCAAAAATACTGTGGGACACAAAAGTTAATTTCATGCGTCCTTTTGTCTTATTTTTGAAAGCAGAAGCAATGTAGCCATTTGTTCTTTTTGGTGACCATGGCCGAAGTCCCGTTTTGTGGCCTGTGGTGGTGGAAAATAAAAAGTGGCTGCACCCTCCTGAATGTTTATAACATAGATCCTCTTGTACATCATCAGCTCCTAGCCCGGCCCTCCGTTTGCCGCACTCGCCCTTGGCGCTACCTAGGAATAATCGCTTCTAGGAACCCTGAGCCCGAACCCACTATTGCTGTCAGCCACATATTGGCTCATGATGTTGGTCTGATTATAACGTTTTTTTGTTTTTAGATGTTGACTGTATTTTTGTGCCTGTTTTTAATCTGTATTTGCTGGGCATGCCCCTTGTAAGTCGCCCCAGGTCACTTTGGGGAGATGGAGGCGGGGGATAAAAATAAAGTGTTTACTTGAACAGAAAATGGTTATTTGCTTTTAATGAGACTCTCTTGCGGAACTCATAGCAGAGTGTTGCATGCGGCACTTTGAAGTGCTTCTGTGAACCGCCCCGAGTCCCTTCGGGGAGATGGTGGCAGGGTAATAATAATAATAATAATAATAATAATAATAATAATAATATCTATGTTATGTATCAAATAATAATAATAATAATAATAATAATAATAATTTGATACATAACAAGATAGATACACAGCTAACAAGATCATTATGCTGACTTTTGTACCCGATTTTCCTGCTTCTTGGCAGAATGGGGTTGGACTAGATGGCCCACGAGGTCTCTTCCAACTCAATGATTCTATGATTGTGTGATCATACTTCCCAAGTGTCTAGGACTGTGTGATGTATTGGCGAATAATGTGTGCAGATCCAAGTAGGGCAGCTTTTTGCAGCTGACAGGTGGTGATTTAGTCAGTGCCGATTGTTTGCAAGTGCAGGTCATGGTTTTAGGCACTCACCCAGTGTGCTGATCACCACTGGGACCACCTTTACTGGCTTGTGCCATTATTATTATTATTATTATTATTATTATTATTATTATTATTATTATATTATATAGAGAGAGTGTGTATGTGTGTGTGTGTATATATACACACACACACACACACATACTGTATTTTTGTATCCCGCCACCATCACTGCACACTGCACTTACCCCACAATCCTTACATACCACCTGTCACATCAGCACTTTTAATCTGTACCCATTACTCTGGCCCGGCCCAGTTTTATTGTGTCTTGGTGTATTGTTTATTGCTTGTTGTTTAATATTGCTTTAATTGTTTTTAATTTGCTTTAGGTTTTTGTATCGTTATGTTGTGTGTTGAGGCCTTGGCCTTTGTAAGCCGCATCGAGTCCTTCGGGAGATGTTAGCGGGGTACAAATAAAGATAATAATAATAATAACAATAATAAATAATCTCCCTGAAGGGACTTGGGGCAGCTTACATGGTGACAAGCCCGGTCAGACATAGTTAAATATATAATATAATATAATATAGTAATATAATATATAATTGTTGTTGTTGTTGCAGAATCTTAAGGCTCCAGGGAATCTGGCTGATAAATTCTGTTTAAAATTTACACTCCAACAAGAACAACACATTCAGATTCCACCAAGCACAGATAATCTCTACGGCGCAGTAGTGTTTGCTCCTGTGAGACAGGATCCCTCCTTAGTTTGTTACTAGCTTGGTTATTGTCCTTGGCATAATAATGCTGCACCATTCCAGCTGAAAAATGCACTTCCAAATCCTACGGCATATGAAACCTTTTGGGTGGGTTGTTTGTGTTTTGCATTGTTTTGCTGAGTGGAGTAGTGTGCATGACACACCTGTCCCTCGTGCCAGAATTGTCCCGCTTCTAAAGCGCGTTTTCCTTCTGTCTTCCCTCCCAGGCTGATGAAGATCCTATTATGGGATTCCACCAGATCTTCCTATTAAAGAACATCAACGATGCTTGGGTTTGCACCAATGACATGTTCAGGCTAGCATTGCACAACTTTGGTTGAGACGGCGTCCCGAGGCACCTGTCCTTTTCTTTTCTCCTCTCCTCTTTGCAGATATTACTCACACTCATGGGACATTCCAAATATCATACACAAACGTGCAACACTCTGGCGAGCCAGCAAGACCTGTGACGTGCCCTTCCGAAGAGTTTTTGTTGTTTCACTAGAAGAGCTCCTTGTGCATGATGTTTGGAAGTTAGACTTAGCTGCATTTGACAAGGGAAATGTTTGTGTTGCCAGCATGTCTTGGGAAGAACCCGTAACACAAAAGGTTGTGTTTCTGTACTGACAAGTTTTCTAATACTCCAAAGAAACAAAAGGAAAGAAAAGAACAGCAGCCTGAATCCAGCTCAGATATTTTTTTTTGTCATTCAGATGTTTCAGTGCTACATAATACAATAAAACCATGCAATTTTCCTAACAGTTTAATTTGTGGGATGTTCAGTCTGTAACTACAGAGTCCATCATCTCCAACTATGTCTGAGTACCTGGTTTGGGAGCAAGTGGCTGGACATACATTTGAAGTTGTGAAAAATGTCCATAGCTGTTTTGAACGACTTTTTTGGTAGTTGATAAAGTTTTGGAAATATCGATTGATGGATTGTTCATGTACTGAACACAACATGGCCTCCGCATGGAAATCGCAACATGGATTTATATTCTTTGTGTGCAGATCAGATCATTCCATTGAACCTTTAGTGGTTTTTTGTTTTTAGTACCAAATGGATTGAAAAGTGATGCGTAAAAGGTGACCGTGCAGGCTGTACCGTGGATAGGTTTCCTTTTTCTGGACTGTTTTCCAGACTACCATATTTGCCGTTTTGTTCAAGAGCTAGGGACCTTCTTTCAAGCGTGTAACTTTGTCCCGGAAGACACTGGTAACCACATTTTAATGCCCACCTGTGTCTTCCTCGGGGTGATATTATTTATGTATTTTATTTAAAAACATGGATATCCCGCCCTTCTTCTCACCCCGACTCAGGGCGGAGCGCAGCATATACACGGCAATCATTCAATGCCGGGACACAGATTCACATACAATAAAAATTCACATACCATTTAAAACCATCCTAGTCGTCCATGTAAAATCTAATGGGCCTGGTAATCTTTCCTATTGCTGCTTTCTTGCCCTGTCCCAAAAGCTTGGTCCCACAGCCAAGTTTTGACCATCCTTCTGAAGGACAGGAGGGAGGAGGCCGACCTGATCTCACCAGGAAGGGAGTTCCATAGCCGGGGAGAAATCACCGAGAAGGCCCTGTCTCTCTTCCCCACCAATCGTGCTTGTGACAATGGCAGGACGGAAAGCAGGGCCACCCCGGAGGATCTGAATCTCCGCAGTGGTTCATAGGGGGAGAGGCGTTCGGACAGGTAATTTGATATCCTGAGCTGTCCTTCAGATTTCCTGGTGTGCCAGGGGCATGCACTAATAGTAGTGTCTTAATTAGTTACGCAGCCCCCCTGGTGGCGCAGCGGGTTAAACTGCTGAGCTGCTGAACTTGCTGACTGAAAAGTTGGAGGTTCGAATCTGTTAGGTCCAGCTCCTGCTAACCTAGCAGTTTGAAAATGTGCAAATGTGAGTAGATCAATAGGTGCCGCTTCTGTGGGAAGGCAATGGCGCTCTGTGCAGTCATGCCGGCCACATGACCTTGGGGGCATCTATGGACAACGCCGGCTCTTCCACTTAGAACTGGAGATGAGCACCAGAGTTGGACACGACTAGACTTAGTGTCAGGGCAAACCCTTTACCTTTACTAATTGGTTAAAAAGCCTCAGTACATATAAACAGCTCAAGAAAAACATGTTTTCCCTCTGCAGAAAGCTTCGTAGAGGTACATAATCCCCCCGCTCCCCAAAATGGCCAGATCATGGAAGGATATTTTTTTCAAGTATTGTTGAAGAATTTCACATCTGGAATCACTGGGGTGTTGTATGGTTTCCGGGCTGTATGTGTTTGTTCGAGTGTTTATTAGTGGGAGCTGAGCAGTTTTGCATTCACAGGCCTTGTAACATTCACATATTCTCTACATTTAACAAGGCATTTTCCAGTACATGCTGGGCACCTGAGCTGGCACAGCCTTCTCTTCCAAATGCTGGTGAGAGCCCAAACAAACGTGTGTTCTTGGCTTTGCCAAAGGAATCTCCATTTGATGAGCCTGCATCAGGGCAGCTGTGGTCTGCACCTCCAATGTAGCTACAAACAATGGAAAGCCACGTTTTAAAGTGTATGCAAATACAATTTTTTATTTCTAAAGTACCCAAATGACTCAAGCTTTTAAGAAGTCACTTTCAGATTTACTCTTCAGTGTGTCAGGTACCCTGTTTCCCTGAAAATAAGATCTAGTAGAGATTTTGCTAAATTGCTAAATATAATTCCTCCCCCAAAAGTAAGACCTAGCAAAGTTTTTGTTTGGAAGCATGTCCTCTGAACAACACCAGAMRATGCAGCTGTGATTCAACAGTAAATGTGAATATCCTTCATGGAAAAATAAGACATCCCCTGAAAATAAGATCTAGTAGAGATTTTSCTAAATATAATTCCTCCCCCGAAAGTAAGACCTAGCAATTTTTTTGTTTGGAAGCATGTCCTCTGAACAACACCAGAGCATGCAGCTGTGATTCAACAGTAAATGTGAAGATTCTTCATGGAAAAATAAGACATRCCCTGAAAATAAGATCTAGTAGAGATTTTSCTAAATATAATTCCTCCCCCGAAAGTAAGACCTAGCAAAGTTTTTGTTTGGAAGCATGTCCTCTGAACAACACCAGAGCATGCAGCTGTGATTCAACAGTAAATGTGAAGATTCTTCATGGAAAAATAAGGCATTCCCTGAAAATAAGACCTAGCAGATCTTTGGGAGGAAAAAATGAATATAAGACACTGTCTTATTTTTGGGGAAACAGGATATATATTCTTTGCACTGATGCTTCCGCATCCTTATATTTTCATGGTGGTGTTTCCTCACTCAGGGAAGATGCACCTGACTGCTACTTTTCCCAGTAGGGAAGCATCTCTGAACAACTATGGCTGGATTTACATTGCCATATAATGCAGTTTGAATCTGTACAGTATGGTCAGTGTAGACCTATGTAACGCAGGTGAACTGCATTGTATGGGTCTACACCAGGCATGGGCCAACTTCGGCCTTCCAGATGTTTTGGACTTCAACTCCCACAATTCCTAACAGCCGGTAGGCTGTTAGGAATTGTGGGAGTTGAAGTCCAAAACACCTGGAAGGCCGAAGTTGGCCCATGCCTAGTCTACATTGCCCATATAATTCAGATTCAGTATAGATTCAGCTTATGGCCCTGCTTATCAGTGGTGTTGCAGGCCAGTTTTGGAAAGTTGTTTGGCAATGAGGCTTAATATGTGTGTAGACTTCCTTTGAGATAGTCCCAATGTTTGTGGGATTTATTTTCAGGCTTGTTAAGACTGACAGCATTTTGGTCTTCGAAGCAGGTGGCAGGAAGAAGAGGGTTTTCTCCCTGCAAACTCACTATTAGGACTATTAGGACCCAGGTGTCTTTGGTGCAAACCTCAAATGGAAGAATGTTGGAGGAAGGAAGGCATCCCATTCTTCTGTGTTTTGAACTTATTGTATTGGCCTTAATAAGAGCAGCGTGTTCAACAGCCATATAGACACAGAATGCCTTACAAAAGGTGAATTTCACAGGGAACACGTTTTGTTTCAAAGGGGGCCTGGCTCATTCTTTTTGATGGAACAGCTCAGGGGAGAGCTTGTCCTGCTCACGTGACCTTCAGCCTCCGAATAACAGCATGCGCTATATGGTCTTCAGAATAATTTCCCTACTTTTTTGTGTGTTGGGAGCGACTTGAGAAACTGCAAATTGCTTCTGGTGTGAGAGAATTAGCCATCTGCAAGGACGTTGCCCTGGGGACGCTCAGATGTTTTACCATCCTGTGGGAAGCTTCTCTCGCGTCCCCGCATAAGAAGCTAACAGATGGGAGTTCATCCCGCTCCCCGGATTGGAACCGTCCCATCTCTAATCTTCCATTCTTGGGTAAGGTGACAGAGCAGGCTGTATTGGGACAATTGCAGCAATTTTTGGATGACACAGCCGGCCTGGACCCTTTCCAGTCAGGCTTTCGCCCGGGTCATGGGACGGAGACGGTCCTGGTTGCCATTACAGATGAACTTCTTCGTCAGTCTGATAGCGGCGGATCGGCGCTTCTGGTACTTCTCGATCTTACCGCAGCGTTTGACACCGTTGACTACGATTTAATGATCCACCGTCTCGCCATGTCCGAGGTTCGTGGTCAGGCCCTCAATTGGTTCAATTCATTCCTCCGAAACCGGAGTCAGTGCGTGGAATACATGGACCAAGTCTCCGAAAGTTCCCCCCTCCAATGCGGGTTCCCCCAAGGTGCAATTTTCTGCCCTCTTCTTTTCAACATCTACGTGAGACCCCTTGCCAGTTTGGCTCGGAGATTTGGCCTGGACTGCTACCAATATGCGGACGACACCCAACTCCTCCTGCGCTTGGAGCCTGGAGTAACGTCAATACCTGACAATTTCCCCTTCTGCCTGGAGGCTCTGTCGAACTGGCTACGTGCTAGCAGACTGAAGGTGAATCCGGCGAAGACTGAGATCCTGTGGCATGGCCGCCCGAGAGGTCCGACCCATCCGTTACCTCCCTTTGATGGCGCTGCTCTCTCTCCATCGCCTGCCGTTAAGAGCCGAGGTGTCGTTTTGGGTTTTCAGCTGACGATGGAGGCTCAGGTCGTGCTGCCAGCAAAGAGGCCTTTTTCCATCTACGACAAGCGAGGCAACTGGCACCGTACCTGTCGGATGAGACTCTGGCAACAGTCCTCCATGCCACGGTCACATCTAGGCTGGACTATTGCAACGCCCTGTATGTGGGCCTTCTGATGTCTACAACCCGAAAGCTCCGTATTGTCCAGAATGCGGCAGCCTGGTTACTCACAAGAACGCCCATGAAATGCCATAGAACACCAGTGCTGCGGCATCTACACTGTCTCCCAATTGAGCATTGTGGTTTGTATCAGATGCTGGTCCTGACCTTTAAAACTCTATATGGCCAGGGATGTCCATTGTATCTTAGAGACCTCCGTCTCTCCTTCTCCCATCATCGGAGGTCGCCACGACCATCCCAACGCGATTGGCTCTCTATGCCGGGTCCGAGGGAAGTGCCCTTGGAGAGCACCAGGCGCAGGTGGGCCTTCTCTGTCCCTGCCCCTCCTGCCTGATGGTGGGATTCCTTATGGCCTCCCTCTTTGGGATGAGCCATGCGGGACTCGGGGCATTTTATCCTCCCAGCACTTAAGACACCTGGCTTTTTACTAGATGAGCATTTGACCCATGTTCATTTTAATATTTGTATGTATGTGTTTTATCCTGTATAATTTCTGCAATGTAAATCGCCTGGAGCATCTCGGATGGAGG